AGGATGTCACGCAACTAGTGCCTTCTAGTTAAATCTCCAGAGATTCCGTAAAAAAGAACAAGATTTTTATCTGACCAAATCAACGATTTTGTTCTAACTTGAGCTGAACCGGCAAAAGTAGAAGAGAAACAACACAATTCTGACCCAAATATCTTCCAAATTAAAGGACTTTCAGAGCTCACTGGGCAAGTACACGAACAAATGGAGGCTGATAAAAACGAGGTAAAAAAAGTTTTGAAGCACCTGGGAGTTGATTGCAAAATGAAAGAAACCCGTCAACTTGTGAAAGCCAAAGAAGGGTACACGCCACCTGCTCTCGTATCAGTTAAGAACATGTGGACTAAAAGTTTGATACTAGCCTCGCTATCAAAAATGCAGTCGCATGAAAAGCATCTGTTTTTCAATGCAGACCTCTCCACAGATGAATTGAAACTTGAAAACCTTCATTGCTTAATTGCCGCCGTTTAATCAATGCGAGTTTTAAATGGCGGTACTTGATAAACGAAGGTGCGTCACCCAGAAACTTGCGAATACAGAATAAGAAACTACTTAAGAAAAAAGACGACGAATTGAAACACATCAACATATATCAGTTTTCAAAAAAGCGAATTCGAGACTTTCCGCAGACCTTACAGAAAATCAAATCGACATCTGCTGTTTTGTGGCAAGCTGGCTCAAAAAAACTTATAATGGAAGTGTGCATATCCCAAATTACACTCAGTTGAGACATGATCGCACGAAAGAAAATTCTAGAGGAGGAACAGGCGGCGGAGTTGCTGCATTCGCGAAAAACAGTATCGGGACTCTCAGTTTGAAGCACAAATCCTAGATACATCTACGCTGTAATCTACTACCCACCTTCAATCAACCTGAAGTATTTATTTGAGAGTCACGATGCTATACTTGAAACTTATTCACACCCACACTTCGTGATCCTAGTGATTTCAAGGATTTTGATCATCGTCAACTGGAATCGGCCGTTGGCCTGACATCAGGTTTTCCCTGAATTACCTATGGCAATACCAAACTGGGCTATATATTCTTGTATGGAAACCAGAATTTATCAAAGAATGGGTAACACTGCAGACAGTGTTGAAATCGGATTAATTTACTTTCATTAAGACACCACACGAACCAATCCCTATTGTAAGAAAAGTAGCTCATAGGTTGAGCCCTTGGTGCTTTTGATTTCACACCCCTGTATAGTTTCGTGAACGATAACGAAGCTGCTAGGTGTATATTGAATACCCAAAAAATCTTTATGGACAGTGCTACCCACGCAAATCAGTCAATATGAGCTATAACGATCTAATTTATGAGTCCACTGGTGAAATAAATCCTACCGAAAAAATCCAAGTATCACTAACGACGGAAATAAAAACAAGCTGAAGAAGCAAAAAAAATGAGCACCTTTTCATCTACCATCTCAAATCAACCAAGAATACAAAAAGATCTGCCAAATGGAGAAAATACATCATAATTCTCGCGAGTAAGAAAAAGAGGACGACATCATCGATACCTTTCAACGCGAATGAAATCAATGACTCATACTGGACATCATGGGGCATGATGTTCCCAAAAATTCATTAAACAGCGTATATCACTGTCTACGGCTTACACAATACTAAATCTAGAGCTTCTGAGCACGATGGAACTCCTTACTGGGTAGTATAGCAGAATTTTCATAGTATATCAGAACCGATTCAGAACCAATTTGTGCTTAGAGCAAGCAATCATCTGGACGTTTTTAGGCTGGCACTCCAAGTCCAGAAATTATTAAAGTTACTAACCTGGAAAGGCTGTGACCGATTTCAGTTACTCTTATACTTGCCCAAACTTTTGAAGAGATAGTTTATGACAAGTTTATCGAAGTATCGTACAACTCCTCTTTAAGCACAGATGAATTCGGTATCAGAGAAATCAGAGAAAAATCTTGCTCTTAAACTCATGGATAATTGGAAAACTCTCGAGATGTCCGGCTCAGACAATTTCGGATATTTTCGGTAGACTAGAGCAAAGCCTTTGATAAAGTCCCGTGCAATCTGATCCTCACACGACTTAAAAACTTGAATCCCTTTTTCAATCCATTTGTTGTAAGCTCAGTTAGTTAAATCATTCCTATCGAATAGGAGGAAGTTTGTAGCAACAAAAACTGAAACTCATTGGTGAAATCAATCAATTGGGATGTCCCCACGTGGTCTGAGCTTGATGCGCTGTGCTTTAATGTGTCCTACGACGCATTTAATATATAATACTGATTCCTAAATTGTGAAACTTGCAGACGATGCTTACCCTACCAATGGAGGCCGAGATCAGAGTGACAACACATTAATAGCTATTACAAGTACACATGATTAGTGCACCAACAACAACCCGGGTCGTGGATACATCCTTTTCGAGGAGCCCCGGATCACCACGCAAGTGGGAGCAATGTATCCCTTTATGGTTAACGCCATGGCACGGGTCGAAGGCCTGGTCGAGGTCGGAAAGAAAGTGGAACAGCAGCAGTGTTTTTGTCTAACAGGGGCATGGTGCCAGCACATGACCCCTGTGAGCTTATCTTAGCTGGCGACTTGGAGACGAACCCAGACCCGGCTTGCGACAGCTGTCGCCGGACTCTGAGGTCGGACATCACCCCCCTTGTGTGCCACGAACAGGGGTGTAGTGCGGTCTGCCACAAACAACTCAGTTGCAGTGGTCTGAGAAGAGGCAGCACAGACTCTTGGAGCTGTCTTGCCCACGAAGAAGAAGAAGCCGCCCTGACCCGAAGGACGCAGGGAAGACAGGAGCCCCCGGGCTTCGAGAGGAGCGAGAGAGAGACAGTGTGCAGTAGGTGCTGAAGGGCGCTCAAAGCTACCGCCGGTGTGCAATGTGCTAAGGAGCATTGCACCAGTATGTGCCACAAGAAGACCGCCTGCAGTGGCATCAGTACGTACTCGAGCGACAAGTGGCGCTGCAACGCGCACAGGAAGGAAGCAACAAGAGAGACGGTTCCCACTGAGACGCTGGCGGGCAGAGCGGTGGAGCAGCTGACCCAGAGAGAGGCAGACAGCACGCGCGTGAAGAGGCCATGTAGTCAGTGCAAGAGAACCATTGCCTCGAACACAGCACCAGTGACGTGTTCGGAGTGCAATACCAGCTGCCACAAAGGGTGCGTCGCCAGACTTGGGTTCAGCAGAGGACAAGTAGACTTCTTTGTCGAAAACCAGTACTGGATGTGCAGCAGCTGTGCAGAGAGAAGGAGTAGCAGACGAGAGCCCAAATCGGAGACGTTTGTGCCCCCCGTTGAGCCGTTGCAGCGGGAAGGAGCTCATAGCCGGCCCAAATTCAGGATCCTGCAGTGGAACGCGGACGGGGTGAACACGAAGACGTCGGAGCTTGCGGCCAGGCTACAGGAACTGGACATCGATATTGGGCTGGTACAAGAGTCCAAGCTGGCCAAGAAGAACCAGACACCGAGGATCCCGGGCTACTCATGAATCAGGAACGATAGAGCAGATGGCAGAAACGAGGTCTTCTGTCTTACATCAAAGAAGACCTGTAGTACGAGACGAGAGAGAGCTGGAACCAACAGAGAGGGAATGTGGAGTCCAGTTCCTTCCGCGTGAGAGTGAGCAAGCGGAAATGGATGACTTTCTTCAACGTCTATGTCCCCCCCCCAACAGAGACACGGGAGAGGTGGAAGTTCTGGTCCTTAGCCAGCTGCCGACTGGGAACACTTGTTTTTTAGCCGGAGACTTCAACGGGCATTCAGTGCTCTGGGACACTGTACAGCTGAGTGACAGCCGTGGAGAAAGAATTGAAGAGTGGATAGCGGAAACGATCTCATCTGCAGCAACGACGGGACGAGCACGTGCACCATCAGTGCCACAGGAGTTAGGAGCACCCCGGACCTTTTTCTGGCGCCTTCTTCGATGGCCAGCAGAGTGTTCTGGAACGTGGGAGACGACATGGGATCGTACCATCTGCCGATCACGATAGAATTGGAGTGTGAGGTCAACACCACGAAACCGGGAGAAGCGCGTCCACGGTGGAAGAGCAGGGGAGTTGACTGGGCAGTTTTCAGCAGCGAGGTGGAGCGACGTGCGGAGGAGTTTTCGACCTCGCATAAGCTGTGCGTGAGAGTGAAGACGTTCAACGAGATCCTGAGAAGTGTGGCAAGAGTCGTTGTCGGGAGGACAAAGCCACGGAAGACGAACAGAACACCAATGACACCGAGAATCAAGACGCTGGTGAAGAAAAGGAATATGCTCAGAAGAAACGTGAAAACGAGAAGAGAGGAGTGGCTAGAGGCATGCAGAGAGACTAAAGAGGCCTTCAAGGAAGAGAGAGAAGAAAAGTGGATAGAGTACCTTGACGAGCTGGTGCAGGATCAGGACTACAGCAAGATGTGGAAAGTTGTAGGTTCGCTGAATGGCAAACCAGACTCTACCCCAGCCAATGAGGCGATGCTGCATAATGGGAAAACCATCACCTCTAATATGAAGAAAGCGGACATCTTTATGAGCCACTACAGTGGGATCAGTCGCCTCAGCTTCAGCAGGGAGGAGAGAGTCAAGAATCGCCTGTTGAAGACGTGGCTGCGTGCGCCTACGCTAGACGAAGAAAGCACCGCCGACTTTAGCATGGAGGAACTCAAGAGAGCGATCAAGCATATGAAGACGCAGGGAACAGCGGGTCCTGACGACATCCCACCGACTTTTCTTAAAGCATTGGGCCAGGAGGCGAGGAGTGAGCTCTTGACTCTGTTCAACATGTCCTTCAACACGGGGAAGTGTCCTCAGGAGTGGCAGAACGCAGTCATTGTCCCCCTCTTGAAAGCCGGCAAGCCCAGTAGCAAAGTCGCCTCCTTCAGACCAGTCAGCCTGACCTGCATCGTCAAGACTTTGGAACGCATGATTGCAGCTAGAATCAGCTAGTTGGTAGAGACGAACAACTGGTTTAGCGACAGTCAAGCTGGGTTCCGCAGAAGTAGAAGCTGTGAAGATCAAGTGATCAGGATGTCGCAGTCCGTGAGCAACGGCTTTCAGAAAAAGAAGCCAGAAGAACTGTCATGGCCCTGCTCGACTTCTCGCGGGCGTATGACAGAGTGTGGAGGTAGGAGTTGTTGCTTACCATGTTGGAGAAGGGCGTCCCGCGGAAGTTCCTGCGCTGGGTTGCTGGTTTCCTCCAAAACAGACAAGGCAGAGTCCTGTTTGCCAACTCCCTCAGCAGACACAGAACCATCAGACAAGGAGTGCCGCAGGGGCCTGTGCTGGCCCCACTCCTTTTTCTGTTCTTTATCGACCCTCTCACTTCGGTCATCCCAGCAGAAGTCTTGTCGGCTCTTTCGCAGACGACGTGTCGGTGCGGGCGACGGACTGGTACAAGGAAGAGGCGGGTCGGAGAGTGCAGCAGACGGTGGACAACATAGTGAAGTGGGTTAAGGAGAAGAAAATGCTCCTCAACACTGAAAAAGGCAAGACGGAAGTGACGTTCTTCGCAGCCGGTTCGGTGGACGCCAAATGGATCCCGAAGATCATCCTGTACGATAAGGAGATGGAGTTCAACGCGAATCCGAAGTTCTTGGGCGTCACCATGGAGAGGACATTGTCGTTCCAGCAGCACGTGGACGCAGTGGTGAAGACGGTGGAAGCCAGATGCAAGGCTATTGCAGTTCTAGGTGCGTCGGACTTTGGCTGGAAGACGGAGCAGCTCAGAAAGTTCTTCTTAGCCACGCAGAAGAGTGTTATGGATTACGCCGGCCCTGGTTGGCAACCATGGCTCTCCTCCACGCAGATGGACCGTCTCGACCGAGCCCATAACAAGGCACTGAGACGCGTGACTGGTCACGCGTGCTCCACACCAATAGAAGCAGTCCGCCTTGAAGCTAATGTGCAGAGCTACCAGACTACTAGCAGGAGACTGACAGCGATCTCCTGGGAGAAAGTTAAGAGAGCTCCGAAGAAACACCCCAGAGAAGTGGCGAGTCGCCCCGGGCCCCCTCACCGTTTAGCCCGCAGTAACTGGAGAGCAAGCGAAGAGGACTGCGGATCAGCTACCGGAGGAGTTGGAGAAGAGAGAAGTCTTGAGTGTGGAAGCCCCCCCTTGGATAGAAGAGAGACAACGGTGGACCGCCTTTCCCAAGCTGATGGGAGAAAATAGAAGCGACAACAGTGTAGAGAAGGCCGTCAACACTATCAACGACAACTGCCCTGAGTTTGTGATCTACACGGATGGCTCCGCGGCGGAAGGAACCAGAGACGGCGGATCTGCAGTTGTAGTAACGACAGGCGACCCCCGCGAGCCAGAGGTGGTACAGGAGATCAAGATCAGAGGACGCACGCTAACCTCCTCTTACGAAGAAGAGCGAGAAGCCCTGCAGGAAGCAGCGAAGTGGATCGAGACGAACACGAGAGCAGGGAACAACAAGGTCATGACTTGCACAGACAGTCAATCTCTAGTTGAGGCCATTTCGAACAGCTCCAACATCAGGTCCTCCCTTAACCGCGCTGGAGCACACACGATCATCCAATGGGTACCCGGACACGTTTCCATACCCGGCAACGAAATGGCAGATAAATTGGCAAACGAGGCAGCCAATTCCAGAGAAGAAGAACTGATACCGGTCTCACTGAGTTGCGCCAAATCCTGTATCAAGAGAACCATGAAGGACGGAGACCCCTCTCACCACAGGATAGCGGCCGTGTACTCCAACCATTCCAGAGTGAGAGACAAGGAGGCTACCAAAACAAGGAAGGACGCGGTTCTGCTAGCAAGACTACGGTCAGGCCACTGCATGGCCTTCTCAGCTTACAAGAACCTGATGGACCCGATGATAGACCCCTCTTGCAGACGATGCAACCAAGATAGAGACACTGTTGAACACTGGCTAGACTGCCCTGGCACCGCAGCTACTAGACAGGAGTTATTTGGAACCATCAACACCGACCTTGGCTTTCTTACCCGATACCCGACCGAGACGTTAACGTTGGCAGCAACGACATTGCCAAAAAGCATTACCCGCTGACGTATATCATATTCAACAACAACAACCAACAACAATCTTTGCTCAATCAGTCAAAGTTGAAACAAATTCAACTCACGCTGAGCTCTCACACTATCACATAAGTTGCGGGAATTGAAGTTTCAAATGAACTAAAAGTTCAGGGAAACAGACTGAGTTTGGCACTACATTTTTGAAAGACGGTTAAAAGAGAGCATCTAGTCGGCTCTGTCTTCTCTCGAAACTGAAACATCTTGGCTTGAATAAATCTGAAATTGACACTACACAAAATACTTGTGACTCTGGTCTTGTATTCGGTGCCTGAAAAATTTCAAGTCCCTGAAAATTTACTCGATCATATTGACTCAAGTCTACCGTAATTGAAACTTTTGCACCGAACTAACAATTTGTTGCTGAAAAGGATAAAGAAAGTTCTCCATTTCACGGGATTCAAATCAATTTCTTTCCAGTACTTCACCAACACAAAACTCATATTGTGAAACTAAACTAAGAACGGTTGCTTACAGGTACTATTTCAAAAAACCAAGTATCTCGCGTGCTTTACCGATAGATATTTGAGAAAATACACGATGTAGCGCAAACTATCCTGGCTTTATCAATTGTATGTTACTGATAAATGTAATACAACTTTCTTCCTTTTTCGTTGATTACATTATGCGCAACACTAATTCAATGCTGCTACCCATCAGAAGGTTGTAAAAGTTAAGCATAGCCAACACAGTTAGAAAATTGTCAAGAAACGCATGGAAACAAAAAAACTGCCTCGTTTTTTGGAAAAAGTTCGAAACTTTTCATACAGCTGGGAATTCTTAAAATTAAACAACACTTTTGAATTTTTGAGTCATTCACGTTTTGTCTCACAATTTCCGCTTTCTTAATTGGAGAACTTAATTTGGCTTTATTCTATCGATTGAATTTAAATTTATCTGGAAAAGAAATCAGAAGTCAAACAACAAAAAAGTAGAAATTAGCGTAAGCAAAATCAAAAACGCTTTTCCGTTTTTCCTAAAACAAAGAAAATCAGCTCGGCTTATATAAGTATCTGCATTGCGTTTATTGACGCTTGAAAAAACTTCCTTTCTTCGCCTGTACATTAACAATGACGTTATTATTATTATGTGACAAATCTGCACTACTTGCCTATCAACCGACTACTCTCTTTTTTACCATTTCATTTTACCATTTCGTAACACACACAGAAAAAAGCAAAACCGAGTTTTGAAAAACAAGGAGAGTGTAAAATTTAGTCATAAAAGTAAATAAGATCTGAAAAAAGCGGACTGCTGGATATGAAGCACCTCCGCAACTTCAGAACGAAACTTCAGTATGTGAATGAATTATCTTCATATCTAATTTCTGATACTGATTACAGTTTGCAATGAGTACGCTTTGACAAGGCTCATGAAAAAAGTTATTAAATAGCCAAATAGCATTTCAACAGTACACACACTGAGTTGGAGCACAAAATTCTTTAAAATCATAAAAAAAACCCAAGCAGAGGCAACCAAACAGACAAAGCATAGCCAACAGGCAGTTGGAAAAGAGTCAATGAACGCAGGTAAACATGAAAAATAATGACCTTTTTTTGAAAAATCTAACTTTCGAATTTCAGACAAAACAGATGCCGTTCAAGCTCTTTGAATTTCAAGAACAGTTTACGATAGACACTTTTTTGATAAAATTAACCCAATTTGAGATCACTGGATCAATAAGTAAATTTTTTATTCCACTGGGAAATCTAAAAATTACATTCCATTTTCGAAACTAGAAGTCAATCACATTTTTTTGTGACCTTACTATTTTGCTGTTCGAATGAAATGAATTGAACTTAAACGAAATCACTTTTTTTACGCTGAACAATTCAGGGGCGGTTTTAGGGCCGGGGCGGACGCCCCCCCCTCAGGGATTCGACTCCCTGCCGACCCAAAGGGTCCCCCCTTTGAACTATTTTCAGATATCCATTTTTGGTTGACGGACCCTAAAATTTTTCAAAATGCGCCAATATATACTAATTTTGAGGGGGGAGTGCGCGCCTTAAAACGCCTTTTTGCGGCCAAATCAGGGACTTTTTAGTGCTTTGGGAGAGCTCGGAAAACCAACTTGGTCGACCTAAAAAAAAATAAGGTCTTTTGAAATCCATTTTTGAAAATCCCCCCCCCCCCTCGAGAAAATCCTAGATCCGCCCCTGAACAATTATTATACTTTTTCATTCCTTATCTCTTTTAATTCCTGGATTTACCAATTCCTGTAAAAAAGGCTAAAGACAATTTTTATTTGAATTTTCGGATTTCAAAATATTGACAACAGCGAATATGGAATATGCAATTTAAAATATGCACTCAAGCGGTCTGTAATTGCAATCGATCAACAGACGGATGATGAGAGATGAGACAAGGATGTAGAAAAAGGGTCAATTTCTTGGATCATAAACAGCACAGCACAGGAAACCTTATGATTATATGGCGGCACGCATCAATTTAATAGCCATGCTACAACGGAACACATTTCATATTATGAAACCACCAACGAAAAAGCGCTCCAACTCCGGTCTTTGCCTAGCATAAATTTCTCCCATCTTTTACGCATGTATGTGGGGGCAAGTTTTGACAAGGTTCCCGGTGCTAAAGATTAATATAGAAAACAAAAATAGAACTTTCTGATTTGCACTACGCTTTTACAAATAAATATTGCCCGAACAACAACTGAACAAGTTAACATTTTGGATTTATAACTTAACTAAATTTCATTTATTTTTGACATCATAGCAGCTCGACTACCAAACTTTGATTTATTCATCTAACTCTTGGTATTTCAAAATACTGCACAAACTTAACACATTTAGAACTAATTATTCTGAGTCTAAAGAAATGAACGCACTTTTTTCTAATTTCAGTGTTTAGCGTATAAAGAAAAAGGCAGTCTGATTGCTTTTAGGGTGAATGTCTTAACGATGAATGGAATGTTACAAACAGCAAGTAATAAATAAATACTCAACTTAACGAATGGAAAATTAGATCAAGAAACAAAATAATTTTTGTACCCTTGTGAATGCCCGATTGAACTAAGCAAATTTTTATGAACGGAGCAATATCTTCAACTGAACAATAAATACATACAAAAACTACAAAGCAAACATAAACTAAGCAAAGGTCTGTAAAGCTCAAAAACTCAAAAGGATCCTTCCTCGAGAAAAACACCTTAAATATGATGTATACTGCACAGGTTTCCTACATAACTTACTCCATTGCATTACATACGAAAGCACGAAAATGTAAAAGGGCCTAATTTGATTAGAATATCTGATTTATAAACACAACGGAGCCAAAAACACTGCAAATGACACAGTCACCTTTCTAGAGCTTGGCTGTGTTAAATTAAACCGTACAAATCATCGCGTTATAAATAGTATTCCATCCAGGGGATATCCGCTGAATTTTTTGCAAGTTTTCAATTATAATTGACGACTCTTTTAAAAGCTTAGTTTGTCATGATATGAGCTGAAATCTGATGAGTCACTTCCAACGTTTTTCGACAGATGCCCAGAATTGTGGCTCTCCTGCGCAGCATTTTGTTTGCATTCAGAACAAATTTGAAGCCGACTTTTCTGGACCCGACTTAGGGAAATAAAAGATGCGCCGGTCTATCCGGGGCTCAACATATTGATGAGTTTGTATGGACATGATCAGCTCCATGATCCGTAGATCCATGACGCACACTTCCTAATCTCTGTGAGGACACTCGATGTCTTCCCAGGGACCCCATGTGCGGCTGTAGAATAGGTCCCGCAGCTGTGTACTTTTTCAGGAGAGAGTCCAACTGCTCGTATAGTGTTCTGAACGGAGGCCGCCTCGAGGGCTGAAAGTTCCAGCACTCCTCCATTACACCGTACACATCTTCTGGGATGACTCTGGTTCCGCAAACACGATCTAGAACTCCACCGTTTGTGACGAAGTCTACAATGCATTGCAATTCTTTGTCTGAAACATTTCAAAATTGCCTTACATATTTGACACAGAGGTAAAGCGCAGCTCCGCATCACTTGCGATAAGACGAAAGCATAGCAAATCAAGCTATGAAATAGACAGTGAGATGGAAATAACAAAGTCGAAAAAAAACTTGCAAAACATCAACGCTTTTTTTGAAATATTTTCTGAAAAATTCAATCTCAGAAAAACAGACGAGAAAAAAAACCACTAGCATTAAATAAGCTTTGAGTTTTTTCGAGCGTTTAAAAGCCGACAACACGTGGCTAGACACCAATGATCCGAAAACAAAGAATGCCAAAGGATCTTGTCAAAAAAAATCAACAAAAATAAAAATAAAAGCACTTGATAAGCAATACAACTTACCGTAGTATGGTTGCATGGCGAATGTGAACACCTCCCAGAGGAGCACTCCAAAACTCCACACGTCGCTCTGCCTACTGTACCTTCCGATTGACAGTGCCTCTGGGGCCATCCAGCGCATGGGAACCACTCCCTCACTGGGTTCCAACATGAGAAACTCACAGCCGTCTTTCAGCTGCTTGCTCAGGCCGAAGTCAGTGATCTTCACCACAAGACCCTCGCCCACCAGACAGTTCCTGGTGGCCAGATCACGATGGATGTAGTTCCTCTCAGACACATACGACATGCCTAAAAACACTACCTTAAGAACACTTATGATAAAAAACAATTGATACTTGCAATGTTAAAGAAATACCCCTTAATACCAAATATCCTTAGACCAGCAGAAAAAAAATCAAAATATAAAATCAGTTAGCATTTTAAGTATTTTACACCATTACTTACCATACATAAATGTTTATGAAGAGAATTGAACAAAAACTACTGATTTTTTGAAACTTTTCATCTTTTGAGCATCTAAATCATCTGTCGCCTTCAAGCTCATAATAAATTTTTCATTCTACTGGGATTTCGGAAAATAAAAACTCAATATTTCTTTCGCTTCATTTCCTTTTTTGTTATTAAAGAGCTCCATTTTCCTTCCATTTAGCCAACAAAAAAAACTCGAAAGCGCCAAAACATAAATTTGACTGTCAGCATCTAAGAATAAACAAAACACGCTAAAAACCACACGACCTAAATAAATGAACACTTGATTCATTTAAACAGAGGCGAAACGGAGAATACTTGCGATACAACACAAACGTAGAAAAACAAAAGACGAAAAAAAATTATATGTTGAAAAAAAACTTGAACCAAAATTTTCGTATAATAGGGGCCCAGCTAAAACTGGAGGTACGAATTGACAGTGAATGAATTTGCTATACTGATGCGGCACGAAAAATAAGATTTCAAAAATTGGACTTGGTCCAAAACTTGATGCTCTACTAAGCGAGATGAGTAAAAAATTTCGAGATAATCAATTTTCCCAAGGAGATAAAATTTCTCTTACAAAAAACTAAGGAGTCGCCGCTTCAGCAGGAATCATTATCGCAACCGGTTTTTCAATTGAAAATTTCATCTCAGATTTGATTGTGTAAATTTTAGGAAAACTCAATCTTCTAAAAACGGTCAAAGTTTCTAAAAAAAAACAGTCAAAAGGATTTCAAAAACCCAAAACTTCTTTTCTGTAAAAACTTCTTTTCTGTAAGATGTGAAAGCGATTAAAAACATCTTGAGAATTGGCACGCCAGTTTTCCAATAATTTCGACTTTTGAAGGCCATAATTTTATTCTTAAACAAACTGGGCATAGCCACTGATAAAAGTAGTTTTTCAACAACCTGTTGTTTCGGTTAAAACTGTGATATCAGATTTAGCAGGATAGTTAGCGAGAAAAGTAACGGTCAACAAATCAACATTTGACATTTCCGAGAATCATATCTTTTTGCGTGAAAAACAGGGCGTAGCCGCTTGCACAGAAAGAGTTCACTCAACCTGTATTTCGATTGAACCCAAAGTCTCAGATTTGGGAGAGTAGTTCTCGAGAAAAGCCAACTTAAAAAAACAAGCGCTCCAAAAATCATAAGTTTGACTCTTTCCAGGGTCATAACTTTCAAGAGTATTCGCATAAGCAAATGAGCTTCACACAACCCATTTTTTGAATTGAACCTAAAGTCTCAGATATAGCAGGGTAGTTTCGAGAATATTCACAAAGTTTAAAAACGGGCCAAAAAATAGAAATAAAAAAAATTGACTAATCCGAGGGCCATAACTTTATGCGTGAAAAAATGTAGTCCTAGCCGCTTAAGCAGGGAGCTTTTTCATCTATTCATTGAAACTAAAAAACTTTTGAGCGGGATAATTTTCGTGAAAACGAAAAAAAACGAGTATAAAAGGAGATAGGGGAGTAAGCTTTCTTTCAATTTATACCCTTTTTTAAAATCAGTGGAAAATTCAGAGAAAAAAAAATTTTCCACTAAATTCGGAAATAATTTTCCGCTCAGAAGCATAGCTGAGCTTCGCAAACACTTGCGAGAACACGACCAAAAAGCAGCTCTATCAAGTGAAATAGGAAAAAGCAACTTGAGTCTCACGCACTAACCACTCGGCCACGGGAGCTTAATTTCACCAAAAACTAGCGACTAATAACCAAGCTACCTATGCTAATAAATTGCCAGTTCGATACCGCGAAAGGGGCATCAAATACAAAAAGCGAAAATTTTACATGTAAAAATTTGGAAAGAACAAAGCCAAATTATGTATAAATTATGTATTTCAGTAAAAAATGCAAGATACAGTGAGTTGGAAAATTTCTATTAACTTTTCTCGGTTCAATTAATGAATAAGAAATGCATCAACTCCGTTAACTTTTTAGTAATAAAATGTTAAAGCACATATGCCATTATACTGCTACCGCAGCCTATCGATTTAAAACTGCCACCAAAAGTGGCACTTTTTTTTGCGACTTAGGTCGGAAAAAAAGAAGGTTTGTACAATACACTCGATTCGAATGTGTAACAATGAAAAAAAAAAGAAATTTCAACAAACCGATTGGTTATCATGCACCCAACTTGAAAAGTGCGGAGGGGAGTGTTAAAATTTTGTTTCACTTTGCAAACACAAACGTGCTTCGCAAACACTTAGATGTAACAACTAAGCCGACAACAAGTAAGCAGACAAATAATTGGTCGGCATTTTATTTGAAACAGAATATTTTCCGTTTGGAAAAAAACAGGCCCTGGTCAGATTCGAATACAGGACCTTTGCCGTCCCAGGCATATTCGTTACCTAAAGGCTAAGTTGGCCGGGAACGCTTGTAAGTTTGAACTCATTATGAAACAAGATACAGGTGATTCTGTTAAAAAGTTGTTAACCGGAAAGTCTATATTCCAGTTTAATAACGCCTGCTAATCGCAAGCGTTATAAACACTTAAAACATCATTTCACTGCTTATCACTTTCCGATGGAGTAGGTAAAACTATTACCGGATGCAACTTGCTGACTGATCATAAGAAGATCGGTTGGGGTCAATTGTCGTTTGGTTCCATCTGATGATCCACCACCAGTACACGAGGCCAGATACTTCCTCAAATCGCCATACTTCATGTAGTCCATCAACATGCAAAACGGTTGTCCCTTCGAGCATACTCCTCTCAGTTTAACAATATTGGGGTGACTAAAGTTAGCCAAGAGTTGTGCTTCGTGTTGGAATGACCTTTTAGTTTCCAGTGACCTGACATCTTTTAGCATTTTAACAGCGACCTCCATTTTTTTCTCCGGATTGTTTTTATCTGTCACATCGGCGTGAAATACTTGTCCAAAGGCACCTGTACCCAGGTCAGACTTGTACTGAATTGAATTTCTGTCATACTCCAGTCTCGGATCAATTTGGCGCAGTGTCTGGTGATTCACTCTACTGAAGGTATTAAACATTGTCGGAGGCTCCGGACAGTCGTTCGTAGGAAAGCTGAAAAAGCCGAATTCTGATCCGACTGAGGGCGAAGTTCGCAACGCGTTCATTCCTCTTTCGCTACCCGCATTACTCGTGAACGAATCATGTCGCGTAGACGTTGGGTTGCTATGAACACTATGCCTATTAAAATTGATGCTTATCGAATGGGGTACTCCCATTGGCTGCTGCTGTCTGTTAGGTCTCACTAATTCCGACAGCAGATTGCCGGAATTGCTAGCCTGGTTTCTGTGAGCACCATGGAGTGATGGTTTATCAGCTTCTTTGTCCTCGTATTTTGGGTTCGCATGTAGACGCACATTTGCTGTATTGAGCAGCTCGGGAGACACAGGCACGAGCGATATGCGAGAGGCACGTTTGTAGTACACAAAGGCAATCGTTGCAACTAAACAAAAAAAACCCAATTCGATATTAATGTTTTTAGGGCAATTGTTATAAGCAAATTTCCTTTTTTCTTATCCTTGGAGCAAACTTGCATATTCAAGCTGAACGCAAAAAGCCTTAAAACGGTCAGGCTGTATAGCTTCTTATACAGATTGTGCTAAAAAAATATTATTTATCGAATGAATTCGAAGTTCAAATTTACAAAGCATGCAATTTTATCATTCGTTTATTAAAAATAAGACAAATAGATTTAAGCTTAATAAGGATGGCCGGTTAATGTGCAAGTAGCTCAGATGGTTACGACCACACTGATTGAAAAAAGAAAAATTTTTGACTGAAAAATTTCTTTTGGGCTGCGGAATATCCTTTTCAACTAAAGATCAATTGGTAACTCACGCAACATGAGGATAATAAATGCCAAGAGGGGCGTGGCATAGAGGAGCTTCCTGTCAGTCAGGGGACTGTCCTGTCTCCAGCTTCCAATTCCCGGCAAAGAGGCCACGTCCCCTCCGGCAACTATCCTGAAGTCTAACGAACACCGCACAACAGAACAAGTCTCAAACTCTAGTTCATTCCCTTTACCCACAAAGCACCCTGGATGGGTGAGATTCTTCGTCAATGCATGTCTGCAGTAATTCCTGTCAAAGTCACTTGATGGCGGCATAAACTCATTCAACTTGTTGTAAAATTCAGATTGCTCGGCTTCAGCCCAACTTTTGCACTGACGCCCAGTGATTGTGATGTTCTTCTTGTGGGTATAGCGCCACAAGCTAGGTCCGCCATCCCCATTCGATGGTTCAGGCGAACAAGGTTTGGAGGGAAATTGCGTTTTAAAATTAAACTTCGCGGTACAATGCTCAGGATTCAGTTTTTCGTCAATGGCTAACCTTTTAACAAACTCTCTAGGGCAAAATTGTTGCCAAGAGACCAAATTCTCTTTGCAAAAATAGCGCGGTCGAGGCACGTATAAAGTACGGAAGAACTTATTTTCTTCGACATCATGGTCGTAGCAAGTTTCGTCGGTGAACATATATGAGCAAGTCAAGTTCCGAGTAAACTCCTCGCAGAGAGATGTCATTACATTGGCAAACTCACTCAATAAACTTTTTGCATCTAGTATTACATCTCGATTTATTTTGGGAGTCAAGTAATCAGCTGCAAAAATATGTTTGCAAAATTTATTTTCGGCCACGCATTCATTCTGATGAGTAGAGAGCGTTTTGCCTTCATTCGAAGTTGGAACTGATTTTGTTAGAAAGCTACTTAAAGGCTTGTTTTGAGGCCACAATGAAACGGAATGTAAATAACACGTCGAGTTACCTTTAGACAACTGGTTTTCAGCCAAATCATACCCCTCGCATACTCTGTTTGAAATTGTACAGCTCACATTAATGCACTGTTTATAAGGCAGAAAGTCGGAAGAGACCACGAGTTTCGTCTTCCCAGTAAAATCCCTCATCTCGAAAGACTCAGAAGCTAGGAAGCGCTGACAAAACCATTGGATTTTAGGCTGAGGATACCCTTCGAATCCAACTTCCATTTCTATTGCAGTGTTGTTCATTTTGAAAATGACTTCACTTGGACTGAATTTGGCTTTTTCGTAAGCTTTCAGCTTCACGGCCTCATTAATCACTACTTTAGGACTTCTGTCCGTAATGACTAAATCAAACTTCAGCTCACACGACCTGTCCACTCGTGGGATCTTCAGGGTGATGTCAAAATAGCCCAACTCCTTGTTCGTTGAAGTCTGTTCTTTCCTGATCTCTGTGAAAAAATAAGTAACTTGTTCTGCACAACTTTCACCTCTCACCTTATTATTCATACGCATAACATTAGGCAATAGAGGGAGTCGCTGTGACCAGTTACTGTTGAGCTTATCCCAGGTGACTTCGTTCTCTATAGAGCCATTCACTTTTTTGATAATTATGATGGGCAATTTTTGGGTTGTGTCGATGGGCATTCTTATTGTCCAATTGTATTCAAATGTTGACCCAACCATTAAATGGAATGTTTCATTTCCGCGTTCAGTTCTGGGTGGCTTGATCACTTTCCAGGAGATTCCAGAGACTACGTGGTCAGTTTTACTTTCAGTGTGGAATGCGAGGAGTAATATAGCAAATAATAAGGCCGAGAGAAGATGATTGGAAGCTGGATTGCAAGGCATGATTGTCATTTACAACATTAGATGGAAACGGTGTATCGAATAAAGGCTTGTAGAAGATATGTCTGGAAGAGTGTTAGAAACAAAGATTAGTATTAACATTAATCAACGTTTTAGTTACGAATTTTAACTTCCAAGCCAGTGCTTCCGTGAAAACTGACTACCAGTTTTGGTCAATTTATAGTTTTAAGTAAAGAACTCGAATCAGAATGTTCAAGTTTTCAAAAACAGTTCCAGAGATCCATTAGAGGAAACAATTTATCGGGCGGCTTCTTAGGTTTGACCAGACTTTTTAGTAATTCCATTGATTCGTGACATGCGGGAACAAGCTGCTATCACAACATGTGCGCCATAACAAACGTCAATAAATCTCAGCTGGTTAAAATCGACAAGTTTATGTTTCGCTATCTGTTCGCAAAATTGACGTGTTAGTAGCCATTGCTTCTGAAAACATAAATTTTGCATAATTAGGACAAGTCAAGAAATCAATACCGTAACCCCCAACTAAAAATTGGTTTAGGCATAATTTAAACACAGGTAATGAGGTTAAGTAAAATATTTTCAAAATTTATAGTTCGATTTCTCAATAAATGAATATTTTAGTTTCGGCGTTTTGAAGCTCCGTCAATCTTATTTAAAAAAGCATTGTAATAAAAGCGTGAATAATTATTTCGGGTAAAGGCTACGGTAAACATATCGGTCGCATCTCTATGTAATTCAAAAAAGTTTGCCACCCACACAATAACGGCTTTCGGTACTCCTTATTTCTTGAAAATGTACAAATTTGGCTTCCCTGCTCAGGTGTTTTGACAACGCAGAAGAAACCTATTTAACTAGGAAAGGAAAAAATGACCGATGTTTAAATGACAACCGGTAAGGAGTGATTTATGCGTGTTTGTGTTCCATTCGAAATCAACCATCAACCACAATGCTGTCTAAGCTTGGAGCTACTGAATGGAAACGGTGGTACTAAACGACAAGTGCAACAAAACGCGCGCCGAACTCATTCATAAAATCAAATGAACTGTACCAATTGCAATGAAAACACATCAAAGCAACTGGGAATCACAATTAAATAATCCATTAAGAGAAGTCCACTACGCAAATTACGGCTAGCTGTTTTTTTACTCTATTGGAATGATGGAAATAATGGTCAGTAGGAAGAGACTTGCAATAAAAAGCTCAATTACGGAAATGAATGGAGAGCAATGCTACCACTTACCACCAGTATCATATCCACTGGTTTATTTATCCGCTGAGAAGGCAAACGCTAAAGACTGTACAATTTAGGCCATTTTACTTGAAGCAAATTTTTGTTACTTAGCAAACAACTGGCTTTTGACTTCCTCGCCGGAGAAACGCGTGGAATTAAAATCAATAAAATTTAAACCGAAGGAAACTGCGCGGATGGAGCATGAGCAATTCAATGATTAAGAAAAGTTCAGCTGATACCAAAAATCTGTGCAAATTCATATGAAAATTCCAGACTAGGAATTGAATTCAATGCTTCTTTGAATTCGAAAAAGCATATTACCAACTAATTGCTCTAGCAATTGGAACAATTACATTACTCTGGCAGATACAAGAAATGGCAGTTGGGGAAGTGTTAATGTTAACTGTATTAGTCCATAATAAGCGTTATTCATGACAATGCACCACTTCTGATTGGCATCCGTTTATAACATCAGCCAGTTTTTGAAATGCATAAATTATAAAGATGAAAAATGCCTTCAACCATGTTTTACTTTTCAACTTTCCGAAACATCATTTGGAGGCTTAAATTTTATAAAAACGCCAATAAATAGTGAAGAAAGATCATGAAATTCAAATATTTTTCAAAAAAAGTTTTCAAATTAATCAAATTTCACGACTTCATAAGGAACACTATTCGGCTTGAAGTCCCTAATTTTACGATTTGGCTTGAAGTCCCGTCGGCTTGATGTCCGGCACTCCAATTAGCTAGCCTCAATTCAATTTGTGGAACGATTTTGTTCAGCGGGATAATTCGCCACACATAAATAATTCGCATTACGCTCTCAGCATTATGGATGAATTCTTCAAAGAGCGCATAACTTAAACCAGAACATGGCCAATTTGGCAATTTTTAAACCCCCGGAACAAAAAATAATTGGAGGTAGAGTATCTTTTTATATTTGAACTCAGGAAGTCGATATCTTCAATGGAGTAAAAAAAAATTGGTGAAAATTATAATTTCGATCGGCTAAAATTGACTGAATAAAAAAATCACACCGAGCATAAATATTCCGTTTTCTTTGAAAAACGGAACAAAAACTATATCCTATCTAAGATAATTCAATTTCAGGCATATTCAAATGTAATATTATTTTGATACAGGCGGAGCCGAGCTTCGCAAAACCTGCTGAGGAAAAAGGTATTCATCAAACTGCAAAACATAGTCAAAAAACAGTAGGAAAAAATTCTATGAACAAAACAAACCGAATGTATATTGATTTAACGATATATATTTAAAAAAAAAAACGATTAATTTCGAAACTTGAAAATTATAAATTCAGATTAACTGGAAAATCAATAAAAATTTCAAAACCAAAGGCCAATTGGATTTTACAGATGCTTGAAATCCTAAAAAGGCGCTATATTAATGACATTGATCGCGTAAAAACCCTACAAAATTTTTACTAAATGAAGTATTATTTTAAAAAAATCAACATTTCAAGGTAGGTTTTTGTTGTTCATTTATGAAATTGGTTTTTATTATCCACACACACACTATACGCTACGGTAAACTTGATAATATCAAAACCATAAAAAACAACGCTATCAACTAGCAACAGAAAAACTGCAGAATGACTCTGAAAATCTGCAGAAAAGCCAAAGAATAACTAAAAAATGAATTTTTCGAAAGTTTTGAAGCGATCGAAAAGATTCCTAGATTGTGTGAATTGGAGGCAAACCATTTTCTAATAAAATGCTCTGTTATTTATCTCATAAAAATAAAAATTAAGTTTTAAAAAAAACGGCGAGCCTTAAAGTCGACAAATTTAGCAGAAAATTTGTTGAACAACATCAAAAAATGTTGAAAAAAAATCGACAGATTCGTGTTCGATAAGGTTTACAATAAAACAATTAGTTAGCGTTCAATCTCCATTAAAAGTCTTCATCTAAGCATGTAATTGGCTCGCAGAAACCGGAAACTAAGTCGACAAAAGTTATACCGAAATTGACGACATCAAAAGACATCAAAAAAACGTAAGAAATTTAATTTAATAATTTTTACCACGACTATATTGAAAAAAGCCATTAAACAGTTGGAAAAGAGTCAACTCTCAACTTTCGAACTTCAAAGTGAAAAATACTTGGCGATAAAGCTGTTTGGTTTTTGAGAACAAAACATGAATGACACTTTTTTTGATAAATTTAACCAATTTGAAAAAACTGGATTAATAGGTAAATTATTTTAAAACTTAAATCCACTTTCGAAGCTAGAACTCGATGATATTTTTCGTGACCATTGCACTTTAGCTGTTCGACAGAGGAGTTTGCTTTTGACAAAGGAAATGATCTGTGTTTCTGAAATCAAAGGTGAAACCGCAAAAATCTAAATTGAGCGTGAACAATATTTAGACTTTTCCGGAAAAAGTTAAATCAGGACGACCTATATAAGAGTCTTCACTCCGTTCATCGACTCTTAAAACACTATAAAGGGATGCGCGTTGGAATTATTTTACAGACTGTTGAATAGAAATTTTTGTACAGCTAATTTGACGTCACGTGCTGAAACATGAGAACAAAGTTAGTTACAGGGAGCTGAAAAACCTAGTACCCTGTTTCAACACACTTTCTATTGCAAGTGTTAAAACACCTCTCTGCTTTTTCAATTTCGAATTAGTTTTCGCTTTCAATTTCAAATTAGTTTAATACTGTCACTTTTTGAAAACGCCAACCCAATTTAAGTAAACTCAATACGTATTTTTGACGCAATAGGAGCTGGAAAACAAAAATGTTAAATCAATTTTAAAAATAACAATAATTTTATCCAACTCTTTGTGTTACGAGAGAATTTAAATTGCATTCTTTTTGGCAAACGAACTTAAATGGGAAGAAAAGAAAAATCAACCCGCAAAAATAGAAATCTGAGCTTGAACAAGTTTGAATACTTTTACCTGAAAAATAAAAATAAGTAATCAATTTAGACATCGACATTTGAGTGAAAAATTGTTAACGAGCGCAGACAAAATCAGCGTTAACAATTAATTAGACATAACCTGAAACAAAAAAACTGTCTATTAAGGCGAAACCTTGCGTATTTTATTAATGATTACTTTCTGGTGTTTTGGATATAATTAGGAAGAAAACTGGGAAAGACAATCATGTTTTTTTTTTAATTTGCGTTTTTTTCCATCCGCTTCTGAAAAATTAGTTAGAAAAATAACTTTTCGAAATGCTAATTAGGAAAAACTTATTTTCAAAATTACCCTCAACCTCTACATTTGAACGCACAATACAGTTCTAAAAATTTATCAACAGAAAACAATCCAATCCAAAAACAGTCATTGAATAGTTTGAGTTATGAGAAATAAATTGAATAAACTTGATTAAAAGCGAAGACTAGAAATCGTTTCTGTTTTGATCCCCATTCTCTTATTGTTCCTATTTCAAAGTAAACGGAATATTTATGTTTAGTGTGGTTTTTTATTCAGTCAATTTTCGGCGATCGAAACAAAAGTTTTTAACAAAAAATGTTTAAGCCCCACTGAAGATATTGACTCCCTGAAATCAAATTCAAAGAGATATTTTACCTTCGATCATTTTAAGCAAAGTTTTAGGCAGTTTAAAATTGCCAACTTGGCCATGCTCTGGACTAATTTATGCGTATTTTGAAGATTTTATCCATAATCCTGAAAGCGAACTATTATATATTACAACAAAACCGTTCCAAATTGAATTGGGCCTGGCTAATTGGTCGTACTTATTTAGTACGACTCAAATTTTCACTTTTGTTCTGTGATATTGTCGAAAACTTATAGTTCATCGATATTAATATTTTATTTTCCTAGAAAATCTATTTGATATGGATTAAGGGGTAGTCGGGGTCTGTTCCGTTATACGGTCTATAAATGAAAAATCGCAAAATTTTTTTGAGAGTTTGGGGTGTCATGGGGCTGTCCAAAATTGAACAATTTCCACGAAATTTAGTTAGACATTTGATAAGATAGTAATGTTTCCGCTCATTTTTATTTTTTGGCGAAATGAGCTTCGGTACAACAATTATTTCCAGCTTTTGTCTTGGCTGGTTTCATTTTCAACCAATCAGAAATGAGCATATTCATCATTTATTCCCGTTTTCAAAACTGTCAAAAATATCTCTTTTGGGCCGTATAACGGAACAGACCCAGCAGTTGAAACAAGCAGGGCTTTGCCCTGATATACGAGCAGTCCCGTTCGCTTCGAGAAACAATTATGGTTTGATATCGGACTATTTTTCATTGCTTTTCCGGACTATTTTGGTACTTGCACGAAAAAATTGAGCACAGTATGAAGGAATTTGCCAAACAAATTTTTATGAATGATTTTCAATATTTAAATGATAGGGAAAAATACACAGCATAAGATTAACCAAATAAAAGAAAACTGGGTCAACTGGTTTTTTATTTCGGTGGGAATTCTGAAAATTCAATTCCATGTTCGAAACAAGTCTTTCACGTTTTCTCGAGCCTTTTGCTTTTTCGTATTTGGAGAGTGTTACTAGCCAGCCTTTCAGCAAATGAATTTTGAATTCAATTTGAAACACAGAGGCAAAGCGGAGCTTCGCAACACTTGTGATGCAAAACACATGAAAAAAAAGACAAGTAAAAAAGTTCTTAAAAATCGTGGGAAAAAAATTTACTTGAAACATAAACTAGACAAAAATTGAAAAATACCGCAACAAGAAATTGATATTTGTATCAGATGAAGTTCATTAACGGACCTCAAAAAGAAGAAAGCATTTACCCAGTGGCAACACAGGCGAGAAACTCTGGGCCGAAACCTGTGCAGAGCCGAAAACAAAACTGTTGTTATCAAAATTTTCATAAAAATTAAGTGTTTACGACCTTAATTGAAACAAATAATGCCAAACGGAAACATTTTGCACTCGAAATAACGCAAAACAAGTTGACTAAGTCAATATAACATAAACTGAAACTGTTTGAATATCTTTTTATTTTAAAAAAAGCAAAAAAAAATGGAAAAAAACTCAAAATCAGACATGGTTAATTTAAACATAGCCAACTGACAGTTGGAAAAGAGTAATTAGCACAAAGATACCTGAAAAAAAACCGACTCACTTTTTCAAAAATTTTCAACTTTGTAATTTTGAAAAGAAAGGGTTTAAAGCTCTTTGAATTTGTAGAACAACTTATTTACCCAACTTGAGAAAACTGGATCAATAGGTAAAATTTTCTTTTCGCAGGAAAATCTGATAATTAATTTCCATTTTCGAAATTAGCAGTCGATTACGTTTTTCGTGACCTTTAAAGTTTTTGCCTTTACAGTTTTGCTGTGGAGTTTGCCTTCTTTTTAACAATAGAAATGCACTGAACTTGAAAAGAAAACAAGTCAAACCTCGAAAAATCGAAATAGAGCGCGAACAAAATTTAAGACTTTTCCTGAAAAAAAAACAGCGAGACCTATATAAGAGTATTCACTAATATACCAAATAAAAAATGGCGTTTAAAAAAACGCAAAATCAACGGAAAGAAACTAAGACGAAAACCACGAAACCAAAAAAAAAAACAGAATTTTTTTGTTAAGATAATTACAACTGAAACGGGCTTGAACTAATTACTATTTAAGTGATAGTACTTTTGTTTAAATTTGAAAGATCCTGTAGAAGTGAAGATCCTCTAGAAGAAGTAAAGATCCTGTGGACAAAGTTGTTTACGGGAAAAAAGTCTAGTGCCCGGTTGTAATACCCTTGCTTATCGCAAGGGTAATAAATCCAAAATCAACCAGCGAAAAAGAAAGGTAAACAAACGACCTCGAAAGTGAGTTCACTCCGTTTACTGACACTTAATAAGCCACACAATAAACATTTGCAAGAATTGCTCAAAACTAAGTATCTACAACAAACCTTGAAATTTTTTTTAAGAGATCAAGCTTACATATAATCGAAAGAACTGAAAAATAACAAAAAACAGTGTGTCAAATCAAATCAAGTAAAGTTTGAACAGTTTTGTTTAAAAAAACGCCTTACCTTTCTACTGCGTTCTTTTCCGAGCTACCAATCTGACAACTTTTTTATTTAGTTTCTTAAATTTCGTTTATCCCTTTGGGTTAAATCAACAAAAACAACAGTTCAGTTATAGAAATCAAGTAATTAGAATTGCACTTTTCTGTGACGCATTTAAATTATCAAATCCATTTGAGCACCTTCATGGCTTACTACAATGGAAATATACACCATTTAAACACTGCGCCATAGAAACTGAGGAAAATTAGGCTGGATGTTGCCTTGATCATTTCTTTTGCCAAGCAATGGCGTAACAATCCAATTCCTCTGAACCTCCATGGAGCTGTATTAAAGTTGGAAGATGTGATGATCGATTTCTGATCGATAATAAACTTCTAAAAATCTAGCCGTTGAAATCATTTACGTTTGTCTGTTTTCGAAACTATTCGGCAAAACAGAAGAAGAAAGTCTTGCATCTTTACTGCTTGAGCCGATATGTTGATAGGAACTAGACATGCTTCGCTTGAAGTAGTTCACTTTCTCGTTCAGTCCAAAAAGATGGCCTTTTGAAGTGTGGGGTGACTGCAAATATTTGGACTTAAAGGATGAAGCGGATGCAGTAGGATTCAACTTTTTGGACATTTCCTTCGATTGAATGTAGGAATTAAATTCGTCCAACTTCTAAAGAATAAACATCTTTATAAATTTCGAAGTAAAAATAGGCAAAGAAGCACTAGTCGAATACTACCGTTTGCCGCCTCCCCCCCCCCCCCCCCCCCCAACACTCAACTGACTGACATATCATGTTACTCTCTCAAGGCTGAAATAAAAATTTGATTCGTTATCAAACAAACCTTGGACGGACAGATTGAGAATCTATAAGTCAAAGTGTTCGACTTCTGATAGGCACTTTTATCATCTTCATCTCGATGCGGCATCAAATAGAAGTTGTGATCGAGACACACCTTCCGGGCAGCCAGTGGTTTCCCTTTGTGGCATGGAATCACACAGGTATTTTTATCCAGACAGGTTTTATTGGGTATAAGTCCGGAAGCAGCATGCGGTTTGGTCGCACTGTACGAATGTTTTGACAAAAACTGCTCAACATAATCTGTGCAATTTGGAACGAAGATTTGGTCGTAAAATACCGCAATGTCGTCTCTGTTTTCTTCAAAAGCTAAAATTTGAAATGCTGTTAGTATCACCAACCACTTGTGTTTGAATATCCCATTTTTCGACAAAAAAAACTTGTATAATTATGAACTCTCCGCGAAAAGTTTTTCAAGACACCAGCTCAAGCCAAGCTAGAAACATTTCTTGGGTCTTATGCACTTAACGGTCCAAAATTAGTATTTCTACATATTGAACTGAAAATTATGTGGTTGAATCTAATTGGGTAATTAAACGTGGTATGGTATTTAGATTAAAAATTCAAGCAGACAAAACTGTGAGTCGAAATGACCACAGACCGAAAACTAAGAACTTTTGTTCTGTTGAAGTCATTTCACTCTCAAAGCCATTTCTTGTCTCGGTAAAATTTTACAATTAACTTGAAATTAATTTATTTAACAAAGTTCCACATTGTCGCTAACTTCGGCTTATGTTTTTATCTGCTGGAAATGTTGACTGACACTCCAGACCGTGTTGCTTGAGTTTGATTGGTTCAATCAGATTCGACCGCAAAACTTTCAGCCATAGATATTTAAAAATATATATTGATTTTGGACCGTTTAGTGCATAAGACCCCGTTTCTTAATTTTTAAAATTGACTCGATCATGTTTTGGCTAAGTAGAAACAATTCTTTATTAGACAAACTTCCGTCGGCTGTTTGGAGGTAGGCTATCAAAACTCTCCTGTATGTCCTCCTGTTGGCTTGTTGCTGAAACCTGTACACACCCAGTATTTTCTCAAACGTCCACTTTTTACTCAGAGCCTATAACAAACATCATCGACGTCACGAAGTTCACATTTTTAGCTCCTTCTTCGGATCTTTGTTGGGTGAATGGTTTCATGCAATCAATACAACTGCACCAAATGATTTGATTAGCATTAAGCTTCATTTTGCCTCATTTAATGACAGGTGTTCAAATTCCTTACTTTTCCCACGAGGTAAACAGTCGCTAAAATCACTTGATCCAAATGTCTGTTAACCAGCAATTCAGAACTCAGTACCATGCAGTTCTCGAACACGGCCCAGATTTTCTTCAATTCATTGGACTCTTCGTTCACAGCTGCCGAAGAGCTGCTACTTGTAGAAGATTGGGAATCTGAACTCTGATTGGCCGATTGGGGATCTGTTGCTTCTAATCCAGCCATGAGTTGCCGAATACGAACACTGGCTAAAAGGTATACCTAAAAGGAACAGTTCTGCTAAATTTATGAAAACAAAGACTACAGCCGACACAAAGAGTCCCAAAACTGAGTGTAGGAATCATGAATCAAACAATGTGCATTTTTTTCATGTGATATTTTCCTACATCAGCAAAAGTAATCACATTTTCACCGTGCAACGGGAGGAACGGATTTAACACGACAGCATACTAAAAAAAAACAGCCAAGTTTTCACTTACCTTGCGGAAAAATAAACTCAGCGCCCCAGTTTTTCTCGGTTTGTCTAGCGTCATTTTTGTAGGAGAAACACCACTCAATTGAGAGGACGTCGCATTTAATGGATTCATTGTCAATTGATTTTGATTAAGCTGATCGATTAACTTTGAAGTACCCAATGAGTTCGTTGAAGTAGAAGGCAACGAAATCAACGTTTGTCCTGAAGATGTCACGAGCTTCATAGTATTAGCAGCTCTTACTGATTCAGATCCCTGCAGCTTGTTCTGGACCCTATTCTTGAGAGCTGCACTAGTTGAGTTGGACATCTGGTTCGGAAGCAGGACGTCAATGCACCTGGGAACTCCTGTAAAACCCGAAGGCAGCTCGCCAGCTGCCTGTTCAATGTCTATCCAGAGCGGCGAGTCACTCTGCCACACATGCTCTTCCAATATCGACTCCTCCACCTAAAACGGACAGGAAATTTTTATCTTAAGCTCGCAACCTTTTAACTTTTGCTGTTCGACAGTGGAGTTTGCCTTCCTTCTAACGAAAGAAATGAACTGAACTCAAAAAATAATAGTCAAACCGTGAAAAAGTGAATTTAAGTCAGAACAAATTTCCTGAAAAAAAAAACAAATCATCGCGACCTATATAAGTCTGAACTACGTTCATCGACTCTTAATAAGAAAACATAAATAACCTTGTAATTTAAATTGAATGCTAAATTACAATGTTAAATAAATTCCCAACCCTGTTCGAATCAAGACTGAAAAAGCTCTTTTTGGATTTATCACTCTTCGTATTCCGATTATTATTTGTCGTATCTGATTTTGCGTGAAAAAAAAAAGAAAAAACTAAAACACCCGAAGGCAAAGATCCTGACCACTTTCAGTGGTCGAAACAACAAATCAGTGTTACAAAAAGATAACATTCAAGTATTTTTGTCTGGTCAGCTAGATTCTGTGAGTAGAACCTCAAAATGTCCATCAGAAACTTTCCGAGATTGATTTCACTTCATGCATTCATGAAGTCTTATATCACGCATGATTTTGCAACATAATTGCCTGTTTAAACTTCAAGTCCATTTGAAGCTAATTTAAAAGCCACATGACACGCTTTTCACTACAATAGCCTCGCAACTCATGAAGATAAGACTTAAAATAAAATGGTCGTTTGCTTAGCCCGGCCTTTAAATCATTTACTTCTGGAAGCTTGTTCAAATTTGGTTTGCTTTATTCTATTTTAGATAGCGATAGTCGACCGCTACTATAAACAATTTGCTCATTCAAGCACTAACCCAATTTAAATGTTTGATCACGTCTCTTGATAGACCCTCCTCATGTTTGATGACCACTTCAATGACCCGATAGAAGTGATAGGGCTTCAAAGTGAACACTTCCAGAATCCATGGAAATAAACTGAACAGAAGTTCACAAAGATTGGAATTGAATTCAATACATCGATGTTAATAGAGAAAAGCATCATCGGTTATCGATACGGTCGCAAACACAGCAAATTGTTTAATTTAGTTGTAAAATCTGATCGGACCAGGACAGATTTGGAGCACTAAGGAATAGATTACAATAAAGAATATATAGAACATTCAGTTGAAATAAAAACAATCAACTAACTTTTTGGAGCCATAGCTAGTGAGGACAATTTCAATGCAGCATGCGAACAAACTTTTGTGAAAATTCTCTCTGTGAAGCAGGTCGAAAATGAACAGCTTAGAAGGCGAAGAGGAGCACTTGATTCGCTTCGTTTCTGACAGCACCATTGTATGCAGTAGTTTGTAGTAGAGAGTCTCGGAGAAGTAGAGCTGCAGATTGACCAAATTACTTCCAGTTGTCTATGCGAACAATGAACAGTACAACTACTTTTAAAAAAATCGACCTCTTATAACTATCCACATCATGTTGAACGAATAGTCACCTGTTGGCACTGCTGATTTGCAAATTGGTAGCCCAATTGATTAATTCTGTCCTCGATTTCTTGCAAAGTGATAGCAGAACACTCATTACATATCTGAATCAGGTCCATCAGTGGCATATTGGAGAAGCCGACCAATATAGCCTGAAGTTTACTGACTCCCTCCAGGTTAGAACACACCTCAGTTGAACCCTGACTTTGTTGAGGATTTCTCCTGGTTCGATCACGAGGACCAGCCAATAGAATCGAGGGTTTTACCTGAAAGAAGTCATCCCATTTTATCAGGAATAATTCGCAAATCCATGATCAGATTTTGTATCATGAAACCAAAGCAAAATTTAATCGGACAAAAAATGGCAATTAAAGCAGTACGAAATTAGGCAGTGAATTCGATGTGCCAGGACAAACAATCCCATGCAAAAAATCCCATGCAAAAAATCCCATTCAAAAAATCCTATTCAAAAAATCCCATACCAATCTATCCAATCGACAAAATAGCCCACATCATTATAACCCACTAGAATAGATTAAATCTACTTAGTGTTATGGATTATGAGGATTAGTGCGTCTCTATATCGCAAATAGACTGAGTCTCAATTTAGCCGACTAATTTACTTGAGACGCCGCATAGAGATAGTGCTAATCGTAGAAGAATCTTTTCTGGGGATTCAGTCAACATAACTGAGTGATAATTAAAAAAAAATCATAAAAAACACGAAGTCATATCATTATATTCACCGCACTACTAAAATCGATAACAAAATTACAGATTTTATCAGCGGCAAAAATCAACGGGGCCAAAAATTGTTTATATTGGGTAGATAAATGTTCACTAAAAAACGTGACTCAAAATCTACAATTCACTGTCGCTGCAACTTGCGATAAAATCATTATTTCGGTCAACCTCGAGCACAGCCATGAGTTCAAACCCGGTCGTGTAGCGATAGAATGAGAGAAAAAAGACTTAATTCCTTTAAAAGAATAACAACAATGAAACAAATCTGAAATTAAAATAATCCAACTAGCTGTACAAAAAATATATCATTTAAAAAGACATTAACATAACTTCTGCTTATTGTACATCTGCATCAATTGCAAGAGTTCGAGGGGATGACGCTAGAAATGACAAGATGGTGTGAATAAATTTTCGTGGAAGGTAGAAAAGTACCAAACTGTGGATATCTAATTCAGTTAATCTGTGCAGCAACATGCAGAAAGACATGAAATCATAATTTTGCATAATGCAGCAAATTGGAAAAGAAAGGTGGATTTGAAATGCTGTTTTATAATCCAGCTTAAAATCAATCCATTGATAAACAGATTTGTTGAAATGCTCCCAGTTTCGTTGAAGAAGTGAAATTAGCAAACCACACGTGGGATCGATAAGTTAAAACAGGTTAAATACATGAGTAAAGTTTATGTTTACGGAAAAGAAAAATTAAAAAAAATTACTTTTCACACAGAGGCAAAGTGAAGCTTCGTATCACTTGCGATCGCGTTCAGACAATTCGATCACAGACAATTCAACCAATTTCAAATTCAGATAATTCAGTCAAAATGAGTGAGACAATTCGGCCAAAGACTATTCAGACAGTTTTAAAGTTTTAAAACGTGCGCGCAAAAACTTTTCACATGCAGCAAAACATCAAAGCTTTCATTAGACGACTTATAAGTAATTCCTTTCAAATGCACATAAAACAATTAAAATACCTAAGAACCAAAAATACCTAAGCGTAATAAAACTTTATACAACTCATTATGTTTCCAATTTTGGAATAATAGTTAAGCAAAAATCGAACTCAACAAAAAACTGCGCAATACTTGAACGTTAACCAACTTACACGAAAGCAGACCCGAAATTGTGGAATTTACAGGCGGTCAAAAAGGATATCAGTTAAAGGGCTGACCACCCCTACCACATACTGGCCACACAGTTACGCTGATATTTTTATCATGCCTTTGGCGGGGGAGGGTGCAACCGTCTATCAGGTAATTTGGGTAGTCGAGTTTTAGTTTTTGCAACACTACCAGCGCTTGATTTGCTTTCTCAGTCGGAAATCTGTCATTGCGATGGAACGCTGCCCAATAAGACGCAAGACACTTACGAAAAACTTTTTGGCTGCTTAGAGCAATTTGGAAAAAAAGTAGTCATTGATTTTGAAGCCGCTGTTTGCAACGCCATAAAAAAAATGCAGCCTGATACAGAAATTCAATTCTGTTTCTTCCACCTGGGCCAAGCAGTATGGCGCAATGTACAAAAACTTGGTTTTACGCGCAAGTACATGGACGATGATGAGTTTCGACTGAATGTCAAAAAAATGATTTGCTTGGCATTCGTTCCCATTGACGACGTTATTTTCGCTTTTGAGGCGCTCCGAAAAGAGGATCCCTCAGAGGAATTCCAGAGTCTATCGGAATACTTCGAAGACACCTATATTGGTGCTTGTCGAGGAAATAGACGCGTCAAACCAAAGTTTGACATTGCCGATTGGAACGTTTTCAATCGGATGCTCAGCGGAGAGCCTCGTACGAACAATGCATTGGAGGCATGGATCGGCAGCTTCAATAAATTCGTATCGACAAAGCATCCAGCCCTCCCCAAGTTGATCACACGTTTCAAAGATGAGCAAAAAAACGCCGAAATTAATGTAGAGAGACTGATGTCCGGTGATATTATAAGAAAACAGAAGCCCAAGTATTCAATAGCAAATGATAAACTCGTTCAAAACGCAAAAAACAACAATCGAGACCATATACAGAAGTATTTAGAACTTTGTACCTTCAATGTACATATTTCGTAAAACTTTATGCATAGCAAGTTTGTTTTGATCTTTAAATTTGTTATTTGATGTTTCACATTTCTTTGGAAAAGTGTTGAAAGCTTTCTGACTTTAATCAAATAAGAAAAGTTTTAATGTTCCCTTTTATCTTATCTCTTTAATCTAAATAGGCCGAATTGTCTTTGGCTGAATTGTCAGAGTTTTTTTGGCTGAATTGTCTGTATTTTAAATCGGCTAAATTGTCTGTGGCTGAATTGTCTCTGCGCCCTTCCGATACCACAAAAATAGCATTGCAAGCTAGCAGACAGGAAAGCAAACGAGAGCCACTAAGTCCAAAGACAACGAAAAAAAATTCAAAGGAACCACAGTTGAAAAAACTTCAAAAGATTGTCTGGAATGATATTCTATTCGCAAAAAAAACACGTCCGGAAACACATTCGACGGCGTTGAAAGAAAATTCTAAAACCATTATCGAGCGAAAATAAAGTTGTCATGAAAAACTTTGAACTACAAAATTCATTTTGAGATTTTTAACGTTTTAGGCTATCCCAAGTTATTGTAATCTGAGCCGCAGTCATTTGGGCCGAAAACTGCATCGAGTAAAAAAAAAATAGGTGGCGACTAAGACAAAACATCAGCAGACAAACAAAAAGCCGACAATTTTTTTGAAACGGAACATTCACCGTTTAAAAAAAATACTTTGCCGTCCCAGGCGTATTCGTTACCTCCACACTAAGTGTGCCGGAGACGCTTGGAAATTTGAATTCATTATGCATTAAGATGCAAAATGATTCAAAAGATTTGACACGACAAAAAAGTCTATATTCCGATTTGATAACGCAGCCATGATAGCGTAATCATGAAGGAACGCTTTTTGCTTGAAATAAAAAACTCTCATTAGCATGAATGTTCCAAGAAACATCATTCGATATCAAAATACCTAAATATTTAATAACATTGGTCTTGGCATGCTCATGGCTTCTTTGATAAACAGCACTTGGCACCAGTGATCCCTTTATATTTATCAGGAAGAAAACAAATTTGGTTTTCTTCAGACTACCACTGTAAAGAATTAACATCAGTTGAGGAAGATAAGTTATAAACATCGGCGTAAAGGAAACAACTAGTAGTAACACTTTTCGGTAAATCATTCAAAATATTGTAAAACGAAGAGGACCTAAATCGATAACAAAATGACAGTTCTTAACTGCGGGAAAATCAACAAGGCATAACGTTGCTTATGTCAAAACCACTCGAATGATAGTGAAGAGAGGACAACGACAGATTCATTATTGTCGGTGAAATGAAAAAATTCTCCTCGCGTCGGTATCAAAGTTTGGCTGTGACGAAAATATCCACGACACAATTAACAAATTTACTAATAGTACCAAGTACAAATTCAGATTAGTGACTTTTATCTCCCTGCGTTTACTCGTTGCTCAGCGACAAAAAGTCCATTTACAACTGGTTCATTGAAGCGCGGATTAGTTTTATTGGAGACGTCGTGCTAGAAAAAAGTCTGATTGAATTCGAACAAGCAGCCTTGAATGCCTGTTCTTCCATATTTGAAACTGAAATTATTGGATGTTACTTTCGCTTATGCCACATCTTCCATCGCAAACTTATGACAGTTCCTATATTGAAGGAGAAATAATTGTCCGACCACAGCCTGATTCTTTGTTCCTCGAGCTCTCTAGAATCCTATTCACAACACAGCGACAGGTCTCATTCGCATAACCAATGTGGTTGACAGATGCCATAACGGCGGTACAATGCCTTTCCAGGGCAGCCTTAAAGTCTTGTTTTCTTCAAGTAGAAGTTTAATATTCTGAAAGCAAGCAGCGCTACAACAAATCAAACCCGTAAAAAGTAACGAGCAATTAATTCCGTATGATCACTCAATCACGCAAAACTCAGATACAGTAGATTATTTTCAAGCTTTGGCTCATTTGACACTCAGGAGACAAGTTATATTGTTTTCGAGCTAAACACTTTATCCACTGTGAATCAATCATTTTAAAGCATAATTTAAAGCATAATGCCAAGTGAGCTTAAAAAATCACGTCTTTCCGCTTTGAATATTCAAAAACTTGGTAAACTAATAACGTGCGTTGAAATTTTAAGCTTTGATTGAATTTGACTTCACTCGCATCTTCAAAAGATTGAATTGCTTTGACCAGTTTGTTCAAATGCGGCATCTTGATTTCGATTAGCGTATTACGATATCATATTAGCTTTTAATTCGCTTCAAACGATATGGATTTTTTAATCTTGCGTGCGCTACTGCGTCCTGGGCTTTTCTGTCTGCTGGGTCATTTTGGATTAGGGATACCCTCCCGTGGGATAAAAGGTAAAGGGTTATTTGTCATGAAAGTGGAATTCGATATTCTGGGAGTTGGAACTTTTTCCTGCAATTCGAACTAAAAAGTTATCTCTTTGGAACCATTTTTGCATAAACGACTGAAAATACCCGCTTTAGGTCATGGATTGTTTCTCGTTACAGTTTAAAACATTTTTGGCAACCCTTTATTTTGTTCTTCATTGAAGCATTAGCAAAGAAACACTTCTATATCGTTTAAACGAGATGTGTGTACAGGCTAAGCGCATGTTATGGCCACTTTCGATACATCAAAAACATAGCATAGCAAGACTGCCGACAGAAATGAGACGAACACCAAACAATTATAAAAATTATTGGAAAAACCAAAATCTACTAAGAGTTCAAACACTAGATCGAAAAAGCGCTAAAAGAGTACGCTGTAATGGCAAACAGTAGTTTAAGTTTTCAGAAAATAAGCATGTCAGCACTTGGTAAAACAAAGTCCACGTTGACTGTTAGCAATGCTTCGGTGATTCTGCGCGTCAAATTTTTAGCCTGAGCAAATAATGTATGCTCCGATTTGATTAACGCAATTCTGAACGCAAAACTTACAAGACTGCTCGTATCAGGGCAAAGCCCTGAATGCTCCGACTACCTTTTAAGGTTTTATGGAGCAGTAATAATATCAAAAAATTAAATGTAATAAAAAATAAAATGAAAATTTTTTTTTCTAAAATTTGAATTTTTTTTTGAAAATCATCCCCCCACACGCCATATAAAGTACAAAAGGATAGATTTCGCTCCTTGTAACAAATCAATTATGGCAAATAAGCTTCTTTCAACCAATTTGGAACGATTTTAAGACGGATTAACTCTCCGCTTACGCGTTAATAGCGCGAAATATATCGCGAGTTAATTGTCCCAAATTGGCCAAAATGGCAATCTTTAAACCCCCATAACTTTACGAAAAATGATCACAGGTAAAATATCTTTTCAAATTTGAGCTCAGGACAACAATAGCTTTCGAATGATATAAAAAAAATTCCGTCAAAAATGGCTTGTTAAGAAGTCGAAATTTGTCTGAAGAAAAAAAAACCCACCCCGAGCACAAATATTCCGTTAATTTCGTATCGAAAGTCGGAACAATAAGTATTTAACATTCAAACTTGCCAAAGAAGATAGATTCAAGTCCCGCTTGATGGCCTCTTTGACAAATAACCTCTCATCTAGTTGCCCGGATTTCTGTATCAAAAGCTCGTAACTAGTTTCCAAGTAGTTTCTAAACAAATATCACTATATTAGTGAATATATTTGTAGCGATAATTATTTTATCCAGATTCTATCTAATTACCTGGGTAAAAATGAAGCCAGTAATCAATCAGTAAACACGATGCTTTTTTAACAAAACAATTAATCCGGAAAAACGAATGACATATTTACTGTACCTGTTGGAAAAGTAGTTTTCGCTGCATGAAAACATTGACATCAGATTTCCATCGTCAAGTGTCAAAGCTCCTTCCGCTGCCATCTTCTCCAAGTATGGTCTGAACCAGTGCTGTCTCACGGAGAAACATTCTCGCAAGTGACCACCTCCACGTCTGCAACAAATAGCCTCGAAGAACTCTGAGTTGGTCACAGCTGCTTGATTTGAGCCGAACCCGAGATCGTTAGATTTAATGGTCTCTGATTTCAAACTGGAACCTAAAGTTGAAGCGTTCAAACTAGGCTGATAAAAAAATTCTAATAAACGGTTCACAATACTACGGAATCATGAAAACGATTCAAAAGTTTCAAACGGAATCATTAAACTGAAAATAAACTTTTCTTTCAACTTGGCTGTTGACGCAGAAAAAAAAGCCCGTAATCCACGAAAAATCACGCAACCTGTTTCTTAAACTGAGCCCTCGATCTCAGATTTGGCAGGGTAGCTTTTGAGAAAAGTCAAGTAGTTTCCAAAAACGGTTTCAAAAAATAAAAGAAGAAGACTTTTCTGAAAGCTGCAGCTGTTTTCTTTATGAATAAGCGAATACCAGCTGATGCAGCAAAGCAGCCAACAATCTGTTATTTAAACTGAAACAATCTTGCAAATGCAGGTAGTTTCTGAGAACGAACAAAGTTTCCAAAAAAACGGCCATAAGTTCAATCTTCGACTTTTATGAAGAACCAATTTTTTCAGCTAAAACTATGGCGCAGCCTATTGACAATAAAATATTTTATCGACAAAACCTTTGATCAAAAAATTTCCAGGGTATTTTTCGAAAAAAAGTCGAAAAGCTTCCAAAAAAGGTCAAAATTTAATTTTTCCACCTGTAATTATTTTGTTCTTAAAAAGAATAGGGCAATTCAGCTGATGCAGTGATGATTACTTGAACCCTTCATTTCGATGAAACTCTTGCTACCAGATTGGGCCGGGCAGTTTTCGATAAAAGTTACAAGGTTTCCGAAAAACAAACACAAAATTTTGACTTTTCCGAAATTAATAACTAAATTTCTACAAACAAATATAGGACGTAGCTGCATACGTCGGGAGGAGAATCAAATTTTTTTTCGATTAATTTTTCAGACCAAGATTTGCGAGGGTAGTTTACGCGCATGGCCGAAAATTTTTCACGAATATGGTCAAAATGTCAAAAAATTATCATTTTTGTGGCCATATTTTATTTGAATTTAAAAAATTGGGCACAGCCGTTTCTGCTAGGAAAAACACCACTATCATTTTTCCAAATAAATCTTCAGTCCTAGATATGAGGACGTAGTTTTTGAGAAAAGTCAATAAAAATGTTTCAAAAAAGACCAAACAAAAAAAAAGCTTTTTTGGGGGCCACAACTTTTTTTTCTTTAAAAATTAAGCAGTAGCGGCTAATGCAGAAAAGATCTTCGTTACCTGTTATTTTATTGAAGCTTTAACCTAAGATTTGGCGGAGAAGTCTGAGAAAACTGAGTCAATCATAACTCTTTGAAATTTCGAAAGCTGTTGAAGGTGGAGCAAGATACCAAAGGTAAATATAGACTAGACAAATAAGCAGACACAATGCCGTATCATGTCTTTCCATTTGCACCAATTTTTTTGAAAACTGGTGAAATAGTTATTGAGAAAAAAACAACTTCAGTGAAAAGTGTCTAAAAAAATTAAAAACATTGAATCCCATACATATTCATGATACCTATTTTTGTCAAAAAAACAAATTCTTGAGCTCGAAGCAACGCAAAACAAATTCAATCAGCTGATAAAACATGAATCGAAAGCTTTTAGTTGAAAAAAAAACTTCAACAAAAAACATTCGAAGTGACTCGGTAAAACGACAAACTCCAAAATAATGTTGAAAAAAATTGTTTAAAAAATTCAACATTAAAATGAAATCCATGCTTTGCAAAATAACCTGATCAAAAACAGTACCAGATAAAATAATTGCTTAAAGATAATATAATTAATTATAACCTGAATGATCTCAAAAGTACTTTCTATTGAATTTAAAGAAATTGAGCATGTCAACGTGAAACTGCACGTACGTCATAAATGTGTAAGAAAAGTTGCTAACGGGAAAATTATAGTTCCCAACTACAAGTCACTTGCATGTCACAAGTGAAAAAAAGTAGAAAATCATCAGCCTGTATTTTAAAATATGGGTTAGCTAAAGCTTTTAACCAAAATTACAATTGTGAAACTAACCAAAAAAGGAAAAGGTTCCGACAAAATTTAAATATGTATTGAAAGCAGTGATTGAGGTCGCGAAATCTCTGATTTCTGCAACAGATGTTTCTATGGAACCACGTGGTGCACTAGTGGCAGCGGATGGAATAACTGCGTCTGGTTACCCGTGAGTAGCAAACAAGCAATTGAAAAGACGGGTGACCAGAGGCGGATATTCCATCCGCTGCCACTGGTGCAACAGATGGTTGCATAGAAACCTCTCTGTTGCAGAGATCAAGATTCGCATGCACGAGAAGGTCCTGGTTTTGCGGTTAACATAGACAAACCACCACTGTCCCATCAGGTTTACGATCACTCGGGCCAAGGTGTTCGGTCGCTATGTCGATGATATTATCCGCACTGCAAGAATAGACCTCCGCGGTATTCTTGAAAGTGCAAACGCCCTGCATCCTTTTCTAGAGTTCACTGTTGAAGATGGAGAGATAACGCGACAATTCTTTTCCTCGACGTGCTAGTACGACGCGATTCTGCCAAAGTGTCAACCTCCTGTTACTCGAAAACGGATACGGGTTTGATCATGTGTTCAAACCCGGATACGGGTTTGATCATGTCATTCTGTGCTTGTGTTCCAAGTACATAAGAAACATAATCGAAGGTACGATACACCGGTTGAACAAAGCCATGTCTTCGTGGAAACCTTTTCATGAAAGACTGGAGAAAGCTAAGTCCACGTGGGAGAAGAACCAATACCGCTTTTACCAATCTCTTGTGGCTACGACACTTGAGAAGATACTCTGTGGTCAGCCCGAGAAAACCAACATACATCAAAGTTTATACTGATGATGTCAAACTGATGAAAGCGCTTCAAATTTTCCGAGGTACAGTGATTGTTTTCCTTCCACGTATATATTTTTATTTTTTTATTGAGGATAATTTTGAATTTTCGAGAATATCTTCCAGTCAATCTGAAAAAATACTACCAGATAAAACTATAAAAAACTTAGCCTAATTGTTGTGATAAACATATTAAATAGTTCTTTGTTCAAATTTACCGATTGTGTGTTTTCATATCATATGCGCGCTGGGCTGGTTATCTTACCAAATCTCGCCGTCCCAGCCGTAGGCGAGTGAAGTTTCCCAGGCGTAACTAGAAGCAAGAAAGAGTGAGCGGGTGAATCGACCACCAAATCGACGTCAGGTTGTACCACTCCTTTCTTTTTTTTCATCGCCTTTGCAGCAATTTTAAACCCTAAGTGAAAGTATTCATAAATCACCGAAAGAGCTTCCTTTCTCGCCCCAGTTGTCTGTGTTCCAGGTTGATGCCGCGATTCCAGGCAAGGCGCATCCCGGAGTTCTCACAGAAACTAGTTATCGGGACTTCAAGGACCAAATATATCAAACCAGCTCTAGTAAAATCAACAATTCACTCCTACCGCGGCGCAACGCTTCATGATCTGTTTGAAACAGGTTTACAATACAGACCAAAGCGCCTAAATACAGTAACAATAGTTGCTGGATACAATGACAACAGGCTGCATCCACAAAAATTAGAACAGCAGTGGAAAAACTTAATTAACCTCGTCACTAACAAGTTTCAGCCCAAGACACTGATCATCCCCAAAAACAATTCAGAACTGTAATAATTCCGAATTAAACCGCAAAACTTATATTCATAATCATGTGCTGTTTAATTTGATAAATAGATTTGTACACCCCCATACACTTATTGTTTCACCTAACCGCAACCTAAATCTAACCCCTCAAATGTTTTGCCGTGATGGCATCCATTTCTCGTTCTACGGTAATGGTTTCTTTTCAAATTTTCTTGCAAATTTAATCTATAAATTCTCTCGTTAACTTGACACCACCGCCCTTCCTAAAATGGTTACTCAAACACACTGCCTTATTTGTAAAAGCAGCCTGCGAGACGGAGGTGTTTGGTGCTTCACATGCCCAGGCTACATGCATGTAAAATGCAGCGGCCTAGCCCGCAGCAGTGATCACTATGACGATTTCAGTTGTCATCGCTGCACCTCCCAATTTCATTCAGCTAACGACAAGAATGAATGCAATCCCCCAACCCTAGCTACAACCACGCTCCCCCAAATGCACCCTCACCCTTCTACTGCCCCACCCTCACAAAACTCAGGAGAGTCTTCCACTATAGAACCTTGAACAATACAAGACCCATGGTCAAACCCCTGTCCAGAACTCATAGAAACCACCAGGAAAATATACACCGAAGTGGTCCACTGGACACCGGTCTTTGTGATCTTGTCAAAAAATAAAGTTGGTTATAACTTCATTGAAACTTCATTGAGAACTTTGAACAGCCTAATAGAAAACAACGAAAATAACTTCGCAATGCACGCAGCAATGATTTTTCCACACTTATTACTGTGCAAAACAAAGTCCGAAATTGATGGATCTTTATCCAAAACAATAGCAAGGCGACTTAAGCAATGGCAAGACGGAGACCTGGATGGACTATATAACGAAGGAAAGGCGCTGCAAATGCGCTTGTTGAAAGGAAGTAGAAGAAAAACTGAAACTGAAGTACAACAGTTCAACAAACTAATGAATACTGGAAAAATATCAAGCGCAATTGCGAAACTAACAGACACATCTAAAGGCGTTCTTTCGCTCGAAGAGATTGTCAAAGGTAAGACAGTAGAACAGACTCTCATAGAGAAACACCCACCATCTAAACCAATTGATGATAACTATATTACACCAGTCTCAAACGAAACAATTCCCTTCCATCCATCGATATTTGATCAGATAAACGGTCAACATATCAAGAAGGCAGCTATGAGAACGCACGGATCGCATGGACCATCTGGCCTCGGAGCAAATGAATGGAAACGTATTTTAACACACTTCGGGCAACAATCAGTTGAGATTTCAAAAACAATTGCTAAAATTGCCAAAAAATTGGCCACCGAAGAACTAAATTAAATCCAGAACTAATGGAACCATATAACGCATGCAGATTAATATCCTTAGATAAGAATCCAGGGGTAAGACCCATAGGTATAGGAGAAGTTATGCGTAGGATAATAGGGCGAACAATAACTAAATGCCTAAAAAACGAACTCATGTCGCTCGGTTCAAACTACCAACTCTGCCTAGGACAAACATGTGGCATTGAATATGCGATCCACACGCTAAGAGATCAATACAGCAAAGCTTCCGCCGATGCTATTTTACTGATAGATGCCGAAAACGCTTTCAACTCGCTGAACCGAAAGCTGGCATTAAAAAACATCGAAAATACCTGCCCTTCCCTTTTAACAGCGATTAAGAACTCCTACTCCAATCGATCTAAACTATTCGTTAACAAAAAAAAACAATCTACTCTCAAGAAGGGACAACCCAGGGGGATCCACTAGCAATGGCCATGTACGGTCTAGCCATAATACCTCTCATAAAACTTTTATCAGTAGACGATGTAACCCAGAAATGGTACGCAGACGACGGAAACGCAGTCGGTAAATTAAGCAATCTACGAACCGTCCTCAATAAAATTGTATCAATGGGTAAATTTTTCGGCTACCACGTAAAAGCATCCAAATTCCAACTCATGTTCAAGGATGAAAAACTCGGTGAAGCTCAGAAAATCTTCGCAAATACAGGAATCACTATAAAGGCAGGAGCCCGAGTGCTTGGTTCTGTTATAGGAACAGAATCTGAATGCAAAAAACTCCTCGAATTTCAACAGAATGAGCAAATCAAAATTTTTGAAAACACTAACAAAAATCGCTAAAACCTCCCCTCAAAACGTTTATGCCTGCTATACTAAAGGCGTTCAAGAAAAGCTTTCATTTCTTGCCAGGACAACGCCTAACACTATGGAAAACTTAATAATATGTGAAAATAATATCAAAGAACAATTATTACCTAACCTAGTCGGTAAAGACACTTTAAACCCCCAGTTCCGTGAGATATCTTCCTTACCCCTAAAAATGCGCGGACTTAACATCAAGCTGCCATCCGATCATGAAAGCTACCTATAATGGTCTAAGGAAACATCACTAATACTGGAATCTCAAGATCCTATTACAGCAGTAACACAGCAAGAAAAAATATGTACGAAAATAAAATATTGAAAACTGATAGAACAAATCGAAAAAAAAAAACAAACCTCATTAACTCCTTAAATGAAACAGATAAATAGATATGTGCATGTAAGGAAACATCACTAGTACTGGAATCTCAAGATCCTATTACAGCAGTAACACAGCAAGAAAAAATATGTACGAAAATAAAATATTGAAAACTGATAGAACAAATCGAAAAAAAACAAACCTCATTAACTCCTTAAATGAAACAGATAAATAGATATGTGCATGTGGTGCTGATTTTAACTTGACACATGCGCTTCACTGTGCAAAGGGTGGATACACACACATAAGACACAATGAAATTAGAGACCCATTCGCCAACCTCATGAACGAGGTTTGCTATGACGTCGAGATTGAGCCGAAACTTCAGCCGTTGCAAGGCGAAAGCTTTGTCATCAATTCAACTACAACTCAAGATGAGGCACGACTTGACATTAAGGCAAACGGACTCTGGGGTTCACGATTCAGCCGCGCTTTCTTTGATGTGAAAATTTTCAACCCCCATGCCAAAACATCGCGAAAACTGCATAAGGATGCATACAAATACCACGAAACGCTGAAGAACTCCAAATATCAGCAAAGAATTTTAAACGTAGAGCAGAGTAGCTTCTGCCCGCTAATTTTTGGATGCACCGGTGGCGCTGCTCCAACAGCCACGCGGACGATGCAGCGATTAGCCGAAAAACTAAGTGAAAAAAGACAAGAAAGCTATCCAGAATCTATAAACTACATAAGAACTAAAATAAGCATCGCGCTCCTGGGGAGCTCTATACTTTGTATAAGGGGGTGCAGATCGCTACGCAAAGTTCAATTTATCGACAACTCCATAAGCGCTATTGTAGAGGAAGGACGGCTAAGATAAATTATTATTACGACGATGCATTTAATGCTGATTTACGACTTCATTGCTGATATATATGCATTTTTATATCACTGGTATGGCCCTATCCAGCTTGTGCACTTACCGTAACTAAACGGAAGGGCCCCTTTTGTAATTTAGTTTTAAAAAAAACCAGATAAAACTATTAAAAAATCACATAAGTTGAATAATCTGACAGAATTAAAGCGGACTTATAGTAAGCTGAAAACTTACCAACATTCAAAAATAAAAGAATGTATGGATAAAATCTTGTAGCAAAGTTATTCCCGGGAAAAAGTCTAGTACCCGTTTACAAAACCCTTGCTTATCGCAAGGGCAAAATAGTATAATTTCAAACGGAGAGGAATCAAGCGGACCTACAAAAGAAGGACTGATGAGATGACGATTTTCCGAATTCATAATATTCATGTAGACGAAATCCACGCAGCACAGGAGAAGTTGACTGCAGTTGACAAGGTCTCCTCGCAGTCCATTTAAAGATACTAAAAAAAAACAATCAGAGATGGAGAAAGTGTACATAAGCCAAGAGTCATCAACAAGAATTAGAAAAACAATTGGAAACCTAATCACACGAAACGCACTAGAGTCAGATAACTTGCCTTTAATTTGAATATGCAGTAACCATATGAAATAGAATAACTCCTCACGAGTTAGCTCGAATCTAGAAAAAAAAACAGATCAAACCACGGCACACAACATTATGGCGACTCCTCGTAGTTACTACGGGTTAGAGCTCATCTAAAAATTGACAAGGCTTTAGTTATGATGCGCACCTTTTTATATGATGTCCACTTAAGTTAGGAAACTCCATCTCGCAGAACAAAGTTGAAAACAACCTCTCATAATTTTTGAATACGACCATATCAACATTGAACGTTAGCTCGAGTAAGCCCATGTGTTCCTTGAAACTAGAAGTTGAACCAGCCATTTGCATCCAACTATTCATGGTATTGAATAACTGAGAGAAACTGAAACTTTTGCATTTTGGGTGGTGATAATAAACAATATAATCGAAAATTTCACTATTTTGATTAGGCTCACCTAATTGCGAAAACCACCAAAAACTTATCCAAGCCAATATTGCCACATTCTCTACTCTCTCTGTACTGTTCGTAGAGAGAGCAAACTATCCACACTAGATCATTGCCCTATAAAAGAAAACATAGTCAACTGACAGTTGGAAAACAGTTGGAAAGGAAACTGAAAAAAACCGACTTGTTTTCTCAAAAATCTTCAACTTCCGAATTTCAAAGAAAAAAATATATGCTCTTTAACCTCTTTGCATTTCCAGTGCAGTTTATGCTTGGCGCTTTTTTGATAACATGAACCCAACTTGAGAAAACTGGATCAACAGGTTAAGTTTTTATTCCGCTGGGAAATCTTAAAAATAATTTCGAAACTAGAAATCGTTCACGTTTTTTTGCGCCATTGCTACATTCCTATTTGGAGAGTGCTATTTACGTCAGTTTCAGCAGATGAATTTCAATTGAACTTAGAAAGTGCATTATACCAAAGTGCATCAATATTTTAAATCAGCAAGACCTGTATAATTCTTCACTACGTTCATTACTCTTAAAAACCTTTCTTTTCACAATCATTATCAAAAAAATGCGGAAGAACAATGCATTAACGCTTTAAACAACAAAAAGCATGGCTAACCTGAAGGTCAAAGTTATGACCGATTTCATCATATCTTAGGTAACAACACTCAACAAAAGCGTAGTTTAAGCCAAGGCTTAATAATTCGTTTCCGTAGCTGTCGTAGAACGTTTCCAATGAAACGGAATTTCCTATTTCCATCGATCTAAAAAATTAAAAGAAAAACAGTGGCAATTCAGGCTCTTCGACTGACGACTCCTGAGAATGACAAAGTTCAGACCATTCCAAGGAGTGGGAACGAAATTTGACTCGTTTTGCTCCACAGGATGTTAGGTACCAAAAGCGGGTTGAAGGGGACGATAAGTAATTATTTTTATTCATAACAAACTTCAATTAGAATGAAAATTTACTTAAGATACGGATGGGAACCAACCAAAACCCCACTCACATGTGAATGTGGTGCTGATTTTAACTTGACACATGCGCTTCACTGTGCAAAGGGTGGTTACACACACATAAGACACAATGAAATCAGAGACACATTCGCCAACCTCATGAACGAGGTTTGCCATGACGTCGAGATTGAGCCGAAACTTCAGCCGTTGTAAGGCGAAAGCTTTGTCAACAATTCAACTACAACTGAAGATGAGGCACGACTTGACATTAAAGCAAACGGACTCTGGGGTTCACGATTCAGCCGAGCTTTCTTTGATGTGAAAATTTTCAACCCCCATGCCAAAACATCGCGAAAACTGCATAAGGATGCATACAAATACCGCGAAAAGCTGAAGAACTCCAAATATCAGCAAAGAATTTTAAACGTAGAGCAGAGTAGCTTCTGCCCGCTAATTTTTGGATGCACCGGTGGCGCTGCTAAAACAGCCACGCGGACGATGCAGCGATTCTCCGAAAAACTAAGTGAAAAAAGACAAGAAAGCTATCCAGAATCTATAAACTACATAAGAACTAAAATAAGCTTCGCGCTCCTGAGGAGCTCTATACTTTGTATAAGGGGGTGCAGATCGCTACGCAAAGTTCAATTTATCGACAACTCCATAAGCGCTATTGTAGAGGAAGGACGGCTAAGATAATTTAACATTATGACGATGCATTTCATGCTGATTTATGACTTCATTGCTGATATATATGCATTTTTATATCGCTGGTATGGCCTTATCTAGTTTGAACACTTACCGTAAATAAACAGAAGGGCCCCTTTTGTAATTTAGTTTATTTTTTGTTTTTTTAAAAAAAATTAGAATGAAAAACTACTGAAGGATTTTGATGTGATCATCACACACGCTTCTTTCGATATATGAGAACATAGTCTCAAAACTGATTTTACGTTCGCCCGGAAATATCTATACCGGTGATTGTTCGACTAGCATAAAAACCCGACTAGCAAAAAAGTTTGAGAATATGAAAATGTATCGACCAGCATAACTTTTAGTGCTTTATTTCTCACAAAAATAAAACAGCCATAACAATCGGTTCAAAATGATCCTCGCAATCCTGAGAAATTAGGCAATCGAGCAAATTAAGCCAATAGAACAGTTAGCATTTTTTAGTATTGATTTTCCAAAGGTACCCTTAGGCACCACCGGTCAGTCTATACTAAAACAAGTCCCTAAGTTTTTACCAAAGGCACCCTTAGGTACCACCGGTGAGAAATTGTGTCCCTGTCCATTTTCTTCAAAAGGTGACCTTAGGCACCACCGGTTGAAATAAAAAACTCCTCCATAATGGCGGAAAAAACATGCAAAACATGCAACAGCAATATAACTGAAAGAGAGCAATCTTTTGATTGCGTAACGTGCATATGTAGAATGCATCTGACAGGAAAGTGCACCAAACTTAGTAACAACGCATTGTCAGGCATAAAGGAATTGGACATGAACGTCTTTTACTATGTAACACGTGCGTTTTGGCAAACCAACAAGAAAAGATGAAGTCACTACTGGCAAAACGAGACCCAGTAAAGGAGAAACTTGAAAAAAATGGAAAATGAGATGAAAGAACTTAAGGACACAGTCTCGGAAATTAAAACTATCAAAACCAGCAAAACAATCAGAAATGAAAGCAAATCAAAATAAATCAAACTTAAACACATCGGACAACAACAATAATAATAACCAGACGTTAGGAGTAAGGATAGGAGGAGTAAAAGAGAGCGTTGACAAGGATCCTAGAAAGCGCAAAGAACACGACTTCTACGAAGTTTAAAAAATCCTGACTCATTTGGAGGTTGAATGAAAATTCAACGACTTGACTAGACTAGGTCAAAGAGTTGATGATCGTGACAGAACGATACTTCGTAAACTGCCAGATGTGTGGCTGAAACGGTTGATCTTATCATCAGTACAAAAACTGAAAAACTATGGAGCTCCAGTATTCATAAGCAAGTAGCTAACAAACGAAAAAGCCGCGATAGACAACGAATCTTTAAAGAAAACGAGCTTATAGATCAGGGGCAAACTATGAACTTTAGTGTAAGATATGGCAAGCTATACAAAAGAGATGGAAACAATGGATAGTGATATCGCCTAAACCTAAAACAACAGACAACAATTGACTCAAGCAAAAACCTAATGTACTAGTCTCTAATGTCAGAAGTATCTTAGAATAATCTAGAAGAACTCTCCTCTCGAATGTCATCCAATTTAAAAACATCTACGATATCATTTGTCTTACAGAGACATGTTTAACTGAAAATGCGACGACAGGAGCAATTTTTCTTGACAAATTTAAGATCTATAGGAATGACAGGCAAAGCGTTAACGGCAAATCAAATCACGGAGGTGTTATAATTGGGATAAACCACGAAATACGCCACTACTGCATACCCTCAACTTTCAATGACTGCCTAATAGTCAAGCTCTTGATCAAAAACCGCGTCATTATAGCTTGCATCAACTGTGCCCCAAAGGAAGCGAATACGGCTGGTCGTCAAAAACCCTATTGAGGTTTCTGTATTTGATTAGGCAAGAACAAATATAATTAAATCTAAGAAACGTGATGATTACTAGAGACATCAATTTTGCTTAAACGGACTGGTCAACCCTAATCTCCTCTGATGAAGACGAACAGGCCTTCCTGGACGCTTTTGCAGAACTTAACTTCGAACAAATGATAACGGGGAAAAAAAGTACAACTAGACGTAACACTCTGCAACCACCCAGATTTGTTAACTCTCCTGAAAAAAGACAATAGACTCACATCCTTGTATAAAACGGATCATCCATTTTACCCAGGAAAAACTTAACCTAATTTCAGAGAAAAAGAAGTAAATGAACGCAATGGCTTCCAGGGATTCTCATTCTCGAAAGCAAACTGGGACGAAATAAATCAATACATCAATGAAAACCCATTTAACCCATACTGCTGCAGCAATGTTGATCTAATGACTGAACTGTGGTACACTTGGCTCTTGGCTACTTAACATAATCGAAAAGCACATTCCCAGGAAAACAAAAAAGTTCTCTGGCACCTTGGGTAACATCTGAAACATCAAATTTCATCATTTTATGTATACAATGCGCTGAAACTGTGAAAAAAAAACATGACCGAAAATCAGTTAGACGAACCGAAAACATTTGAAAAACATTTGAGTTTAATTTAAGCAAAGACTAAAGAGCATACGAAAAAAATTTACTTGTTGATGGTAACTTCTCAAAATTGCACAATTACTTTAAAAGTATTCGAAAAAGAGATACAATCTTAGGTGAAGTCTACCTGGATGATCAATGAGCTACATCAAATATCGATAAAGCCAATTTGTTTAATAATTATTTTTAGTCAAACTTTAGCCTCTCTCTCTCTCTCTATGTAGGCGAGAATAACCCATTTCATGCAAGTAAAATAGCGACTCTTCATTTTATCACAACGGAAATTGAAAAAATCCTTGAAAACTTTGATATCACCAAAACCAAAGAACCTGATAACCTAGGAAACATTCTTTTGAAGAAACTAAGCTGTTCTATCTCTAAATCTCTGTATTTACTTTTTAACACAATTGCGAATAAATGTGTTTTTCCGTCAACATGGAAAATAAGCGAGATTGATCCTATCTTCAAAGAGGGAGACAAACAACTTGTCTCAAACCACCGACCAATAAGTCTGCTAACGGTTATCTCAAAAATGTTAGAAAAACTAATTTTCGATAAAATGTTTTCATCAGTAAAATTTAGCATCTCAAACTCACAACACGGCTTCCGACAAAAACTATCTTCTGTTACAAACCTCATTGAGTGTTTCATTGAGGTATATACCTCCTATGATAATATCGAAACAAATTACCTGGCTTGCCTCTACCTAGATTTCCAAACGGTATTTGACAAGGTGAACCACGCAATGATAATTGAAAAAATTAGGAGCTTTGATTTCACAGGACAATTTTTAAGCTACTATACAATTATATAACCGATAGAAAACAAACCGTTCGCGTTGGACTAGCAGTATTTGAGCCTTTACCAGGACACAGTGGCGTGCCTCAGGGGTAAATTCTCAGACCTTTGATGTTTATTCTCTATATAAATGACCTACCAGATTGTGCAATGTCAGCAAGTTTTGGCTACCTTGACAATTTCAAAATTGTTTGCAATGACCCATTAGTTTTAAATATCGATGCGAAGAGAATTTGGAATTGGTGTGTAAAGAGTTCTATGGCAGTAAATGTGTCAAAAACCAAAATTCTCAGCGTGAAAGGAAATGCAAAAGTTGAAGTAAATGGAACTGTTTTTGAAGAATTAGCAGAAATGAAAGATTTAGGTCTTAAAATCACTAGCACATTAAAATGGACGGAAAATGCTACAAATAGATGTGCCAAAGTTCTGAAGGCATTATCCTCTGTGAAAAGAAACACCTCCAAAATAACAACAAAGGCCATAAAGTTAAAACCATACCAATCATTTGTGGCTCCTTTTGTAAGTTATGGCTCATCATTAAGGAAACCCTCAAAAAGAGATCTCAAAATAACTGAAAGTGTACAAAAGAAAGCAACAGCATGGATATTGAATCCAACTGAAGAATACAAAGATCGATTGATTTTCCTACATATCCTTCCTCTGTCACTTTATCATGAACTACACATTCCACTGCTACTGCACAAAATCCTGACTGGAAAAACTGACCTGCAATGGAAAAAATTCATAAGGGTTAAGGAAAAAGGACAAACAGGATATGCGAGTATGAAAAAATACGAAACCAAAC